TGTTTAAACCATTGCTGGTTCACATTTAGTTTGGAATTTATAGACTTTATAAATAATAAATAATAGTTTCCTGATAACTACCAAGTTGCTTCTTTATTTTGTAGCCGCTAATTCCATGCGAATTCCCCATTAACTTTTAAGTTTTTGTTAACCCCAAACTGAACCTGGGACCTGGAGTCCGGGGCCAAAAGCGTGGCATTTATGTCTAACTTGACAACCAGCTGGACCAGTTGCAATGCCACTCGCATTCGGATTCACATTCGCATTCGGATTCGGAGTGTGGTTGGAGTTGGAGTTGGAGTGCACTTCACCCAAAAGCATCTTTGGCATCTGGTTGCGGTTATTATATTTTTTTAGCGCAACAAGTTTATCAGCGAAGTGGCAACAACTGCAACTGCAACTTGCACTTGTGTGGCATGCGCCATTTGCCATTTGCCACGCCCCTTGGTCTGCCAGCCTTTCGGTTTTCCCACCCCGCAGCTACGAAAAAAAGTAAAGCAAAAGAGATAAAATAGATTGGACAAAATAAATTTGTGGTGTGGCGACACCTCTGGGTGAAAACCCACCGCCACTTACCACCCGTTGCTGAAAAAATTAACATAAACCGCTCAAAAATGACAAAACTTGAGGCTATTCCGTACATAACAAATTCGTTGCATTGGGTTGAAAGCATAAATAAACCTGCAAAGTTTATTTAAATGCCTCATAAGAAGTATGAAATGTTTTCGAATATATTTCTTGGTTACTTGAAATAGCTCCTTAGTTTTTGCCCAATAAAACTTAAACTAACAAAAATAGTTCATTATATTATCAATTTTTTGAAGGTTATTAGGAGTATGAAATAATTTAAGTGAACTTCCCAAAATATAATATACTAAAATAAAACCTTGTTCTGAATATTCCAATATGAAGTGTATTGGTTAAATGTTATTGACACCACGTTGTTATTATCGGACTACGCGGAGTTCTTTTTTGGATGCTGTCGAGTTTTGTTGATAATTCCCCGTTTATATTTATGCACTTTGCCATATCAAACGGAAGCGTTGATATGTTTGCGATGCTTGAGGGCGATGAACCCCGTAAAATATCGTCTCAAGAAAAATCAGAAAAGGCTGACGGCAAAGACCCGAGAGCATATCAATTATTTGTACTGCAATCGCTGGGCGGAAGGGAAAAGGAGGAGGAGGGTGGGGGAAATGGGGAAGGGGAGGGGAAATACCAAGTGCTTCAGTGCATCGAAGACGGCGACGACGACGACAAGCGGGCGCCTTGGTAACCCCCATCCAAGATTCCGAAATGCCATGCCCATTTGCATTGATAATGCCCACAAGTCGAGGAGTCAACGCGGGCCATTGATATATGGGCCTTAAGTGAGTTTTTTTCGTTCGCCGTCTTAAGTTGGCAGGAAAGGCAAAACACAAGAGGCAGCCTGAATCACAAGTAGTCGGCAAAAAAAAAAAAACAAAAAAAAAGTGGGGAAGGGCGTGCCGCCGTTGAAAGCGAAACCAGTCAACAAGAAAAAAGGAGTAAGCAACCAGAATTAACAACACAAGGGGGACATGACTCAGCTGCAGCAGCAAAAGCAGCAGCAGCAAAAGCAGCAGCAGCAGCAGCAACAGATACACCGGAGTGCAGATACAATACAAAACTTGGGGGAGTTGCTCTGTTGCCTAAGAAACTAACAAAGAGCCGGAGGAAATCGGTATCGGGAAAAAGGGTTTCTTTTTTGTGGCCCTCGGGGATTACGATTATTGCCAGAAAACGCACAAAGAAGTGCCAATGGTGGGGCAAGTAAATAAGAGGCGATAATGAAGAGGAAATGTACTTGCAGACGACATAAATAGCTGGTCGGCGGATGAAATGCTGTTCAATGCACAAACAAAAAATTAAAAGGGATTAATAAATATTTATGATATAATTTCTTTCTAATAATAAAATCAAACATCAAAAATGGCGATCATATTTTGTTTGGCAAATCAAAGAAATGAATGCAAAATCCAACAAAGAAACGCGAGTTGAATGGAAGAAGTGTTTCGCAGGAAAAGTTTGTTCGGGGAGCATAAAAATAGCTTATCCGTTCAACCCTAGACCCACCCGCACCCCTTCTCCCCTCCCACCCCCTTGATTCCACCCCCCACCCCCGCGGGCAATAAGAGTGCGTAAAGTGCGTTTCAAGGACGGGCGACAGCTGCAATTGATGACAGATACGATGGCGGTTGGGGGTGGGGTTCGCAAACGGAAAGAGGGGAGAGGGGAGAGGGGAGAGGGGAGAGGGGAGAGGGGAGAGTGGAGAGAGGAGAGAGGGGGGAACGACACAAGACGGGGGTGTAATGCGAGCATATGCAGCCGAAATCCGCAGACAAGTACATAGGCACACTCCCGTAAATAAGCGCATGCATACAGCTATGGCCACAGTTATAGGCTCTGATTTTGAATGTTATGAACAAATAAATGGGGTTAATTATGTAAGGAAAAGTCTGGGGTAATTTTTCAACTTTAGAATTTTACGTTTGCATTTTAAGGATTTCAAAAAATACTTTCAAAGGTGGCTGATGCCAATCAAATGTTTCATTTCTTTTAAAACTATTCCATCCTTTTTTTTAATAAAGCAAAGCTCTTAATATAAAATACTGATTTTTGAAATATAAGTTTTTTTTTTTTTAACTAATGCTAGAGTATTGCCCACAGCTGTTCTTTATGTACTTATTCTTAAGCAGACTGTTGCGACAATGGCTTCTGCGGGTGGAACTCCAAGAAACCAAAAAGTGAAGAAGCAGCTCAATGGGTGGGCAATCGAGGGGCTTGAATGAAGGTGGAAGTGGTGTGGGTGTGGGTGTGGGTGCGGGTGTGGGTATGGGTATTGGTGTTGGTGGGTGGGGGGTGGGGGGTGAGCTGTCATTGTCGGTGTACCTGATTTCCGGCGAGCAACGGAAGCATTCGATTGGCATTCCACATAAGCAGCCGAAAAAGGAGCGGGGATTACGGGGTGGTTATACTATATACATATATGTATATGCACACATAAGATATGGGAGACGTTGCCATTAGCACAGGCAAAATCACACAAACAAAACGTGACTCAGTGAGAGGGGTTTTATGTGTTATAAGTCTACCTCCAACCATTCCCACTGTTTTCAGGGGAATTTCGCTCCTGGCATACTAATTGATCCCGAGAACGCAAACGAAAACCCGGCTAAAATGCAAAATCCTCGCTGAAAATTATTGATTTGCCATTTTACTGGGGTAGGGCAGGATACAAAAGGAGGGGGGAGGACCAGAGGCTTCGGGGTGCCAGGGGGTGATTGTGCAAAATGAGGCAGAAACGAACGCACTGCGAAAACAAAAGAAATACCCATGACGTGTCGTCGGTCGCCCACCATGGTTCCAAAAATGTTTGTCAAAGCCAAATTGCAATTTTCCAATTGAATGCGATTTCTCGACGAAAAGAATACGATGCATTCAGTGGTGGCTTAACTTATTATAGGACAAACGAATAATATTATTTTGGATAGTTTATGAGTTTAATGTCGACTCTGAAAGGAGCTTTGGAAATGTATTTTACAAATACTATTAAAATACATTTTAAAGGAATACTTTATTTAATGTTTCCTTTATTTAAAAACCTCATTGGGCTGGTTTATTTTAAAAAAATTTTTATTTGGACCACAGTGCTGCGCTGCCGCTGCCTCTGTCAACATCCTCTTCCAATAAGGCACACGCCCTATGGGCACTCATTCAAAAGGATAAATACACCGAAAGAATAAATGATGTGATAGAATGATCATAATTAAATTTTCAGACTTTAAAGCATAATTTTATAACCTTAGTCACAATTATTTTATTCAAATGGCCCATTAAATGTGCGCTGAGCAATACAATCTGATACGGATTTGATTTTCTCCCAGTGTGAATGGGCGGCAGGACAAACGGAACTTTCGGACGGACACCAACGGAAGAGCAGACACGGATACATACACACGAATCGGATTGGATGCGTTTTTGAGCGTGGAAACAAAGGAGCAAAAAGGAAACTCCGTGCAGCCGAAAGCCAAAAAGGAGCAGGGGAAAACGTAAACAAGAGCGGCTAACAAAACAAGCTGAACTACACTCACAGCCAGAGAGAAAAAACAGAAGAGAAAAACAGTTAGAAAGGGGGCGGGGCCCCCTCGTAAAGGGGGCGGTGGCACCTCGACTACGTGTTTATGTCTGTTTATAGTTGAACTTGAATGATTGAAACAAGACGACGAAAGGGAGGGGGGAGTGCAAAAGAAGCAAAAGCGGCGAAGAGCATTGAATGCCAATGTCAAGGCAATTAGCCAGCCGAAAGCCGGTTGGAAAAATCATCAGCGGCTGAAAAACAATGCCACAAGGTGGAGCAGCCGAAGGAGAGCTCAAAATGAAATGCTAAAGTGAAAAAGGCAAAGAGGCAGCAAAAAATAGTGAAGAGACGGAGCAAAAAACAGAAAAACGGGCAGCGAAGCGAACTGACAACTGCCATAGATTTTATGACTTGCAAGAGGCCCAGAGTAAAAACCGTGGCCATTGGCTTTACACCTGGAAATGGAGCAGCAGCCGGCTCTGTCTAATTTGCACAAGATGTCTGGAAGTAGAGATGACATCGTGTAACGAGAAGCTTCACTGTTTCCAATTTGCCAAATTCAAAACGGTTTTGGGTTTCACATTAAATTCACACAAACACTATTAGAAATATAGTCGAAAATAGGTATTGTAAGCTGTATCTTTTCATTATACTATTGCTGATAAAGAACTTCAGAAAAATTCCAACTGGAAATATTTGTAGAGTAAATATAAAAGGACTTTTGAGCTACAAAACAGAAAAACAACACTGACAAGACAATTTTTTTTATCATTTTGTATAGCATATTCTTATAACAAAATAATGAATTTTCGTGACACGAAAGGGAGCACCACCTTTGGCCATCCCTAGTCTGGATGAGAGAGCCAAGGAGAGCCATCTTTGGGCAAGGAATTCCACTTACTTTCTTTGCTGCTCCTTCTTTTTGGCTCTTCGCTGCTGCTGCGCTGCTTTCGTTCTGCCGCCGCTAGTTGCTGTTGTTGTTTCTGCTGCCGCTGGCGAAGCTGTTGTTGTTGTTTCTCGGCGAGATGTCACTTAGTCGCTCGTTTTATAGTATTAGTTTGTTGGTTATTATCCTGTTTTTAGCGTTTTCTATTTAGCACTCGCTCTCTCGTCTCCTTTTCGTCTACCTTTTAGCCGGTGTTTTTTAATGCGTTCGTGTGCGTGTGTGTGCGTCTGTCACACCCTTCACTTCGCCAATTCGAATTTCGAATATCTGGGAATCTGGAATTTTGGCCAGCAATTTTACTTCTCACACTCACACAATGCAAAAAAAAATTGTAGAAAAAAACGTAAACAAATCACGGTCAGGGCGGTAATTAATTTGTATTTTCCTTTATGGTTTCACCCTGCTCAGTTAGGCAGAAGGCAATTGAAACGCTTTGCTTTGTCCGGCTTTTTGGTATGGCAGAAAAGGATTTTCACGATTCGAATTTCTGATTGCAGGTTTTTCTGAGACGAGACGCATGCGCGCACAACAGTTTGAGTTAAGTTTCTGCCTTTGCTTTGCTGATGCGAGAGAGAAAACGACCGCTCACGACTTGCACTCGAAATGGGAATGAAACCCGTTGCGAGCGAGGCCGCGCTATTTGTATCGCCCGCCAGAGGTGTCACTGTTGCGGCCACGGCGATTTCCCGCTAGAAAAGTGTTCTGGTCGCACTGCAAGTTGACTTTTTGTAGCTAAACGAAATAATTGTTAACGATGCTTTTAAACAAATTAGCGCAAGCTAAGGTTTTTGCCATGATTAAAGCACAATATGAATAACATTTCAGAATAAAGAGAATAACTATAAAAATAAATTAATAAAGGTTATATCTAAACTTTCCTCTTAGACAGATTTTGCGGAAAAATACACAAGCGACCAGCACTGGCAAGCTGACAAAGAGACAGCAATCACTGTTGACTAACAGTAATGGGGTCGACAACTGCTAGTTAACAGCGCTGTTAACTTTCGCGCGGGATTTTAAATCCGAAATCGTAACGGTGCCTGGGCAAAGGAAATGTGCATAACTTAAGTGCATTGCATATTTAATTGCAGCTGCAGCCAAAACTGCATCCGAAACTGCAGCTGGCCACCCGAAAGACGCGTCTCAGTCGTTTTGCTTGGCTGGCGTCCAAGATTTTAGTCGAGATTTGGATCCAGATTGAGACTAAGCCCCCGGTGCTTTATGCTCTAATAAACCCCGCTGCAGTTGCTTTTATTGGATTTTGCACGTTAGTTTCGGACCTCGGATTCGGGTCCGGATTTCACCAAAATCCTTTAAATCAACACACATGAATATTTATACTGATTTGAGATTTTACAGTTGTTAATCACTGAATATTACCAACGGCCGTCTTCGCTCTTCACGGCTCCTTGGCTGCCAGCAATCTTAAGCGGAGTTAATTATTGCTCGCAAATGAATGTTTAACTGCATGCCAAGTCGTTTTCGATTCACCTGTGTTTTTGCAATTTAAACCCTAACAGCGCGCGCTAATCACAAAGTTTGTCGCCCTCACAGCATCGATGTTAACAGATGTCATCGCAGTGTCGCAGTTAACAGAGTATAGATAAAGAAAATACTGAGATTTTAACAGAAATCCTTTATTGGGTCGGAACGGTATTTTCAAGAAAAAAAATACCCATTATTTTATTTGCTTTAGCTCTATAAACTTAAGTTTATACTCTCTAACTGCAATCAAAATTTTCTAATGTTCCACGGCAATTTCTAATTTTTAAATTGTTGGATTACCCACTTATTAGGATTAGTTAATAAATGGAGTTTTGATATTTCTTTAAATTCAATTTAAATTTAACCGAAAATTTTGAGGTAACAGTTCTGAAATTGTCGCCATCAGGCCCCTCTAATGTGAACAGCTGTTAAGTAATCGACTTCCCGAATATCGATGTTTTTCGATCATCCCGAAAAGAGAAACATCGTCTTTTCCACATCTCTAGTTATTAGAACCAATAACAAAAATTCTAGAGTGCATTTGAGTTTATTAGTTTGTAGTTATATAGCAAAATGCTCGTCTATTTCGAATCACTGAAATAAGGAAGTTGTCGTTGCACATTGCCACGCCCCCATCCAAACATTAAACCCATCCCCCGCCTCCGCCTTAAACCAGCGAACGAGAAGCAGAGAGGAATAAAGAAGCAACAAAAACTACAACATTAAGAAAACGAAAGATTTCCGCAAGGAACCAGCAACAAAAACAACAATTGCTTTGGTGATTCTCGTAACGGCAAAAACAACAAGAGAATAAATCAAAGAAAATTGTGCTCCCTGGTTGTAAGGAGTGTTTGTGATTGTGTGTGCGGTGCGTGCATTACAATAATTGCACAAAAGCCTAGACAAACGTGGGGCGGGGGGTGTCTGTACGGGAGTGTGAAAGAGCACGATATACCACGAGAGAGACAGTAGCACCACGACACGGCAACAACAAAGAGCTGTGATTTTTTTTGCCCCCCGCCCCGTCTTATACTTGCGTATTTACCAAATAAACGGGACATAAGTCATAACACCAAGAAAAACAAAATCAACTATCCAACCAGCAGCAAAAACAAATCATATAATTTAGAGTGAATTCAAGAAGTTCGGGAGTCGCTAATAAGCTGGCAGCGTAAGAGAGCGCAATGGATGTCCTGGAACTGCTGCGCGCCAGCGCCCATGGCGGCTACAATACTCTCTTCTCGGAAGCCTGGTGTCAATACGTTTCCAACCAGATCACAGCAACGGTAAGTGCACTTCACCCTTTCTTTGTCCTCACCTTTCGGCTTTGGCGGTAGTGTGAGTCAGTTTTTTTTTTTTTTTTGCAAAAGAATGAGAGGGCGTAAAAGGATGACAGCTGGCAAACTTGAAAAAAATATAGAGGTACAGCTGTTGCGGGTTCAGGTCCAGGCTTAAAGAGCGGCAAGGAGCCAGTTGAAAATTGGATCTTATGCAGGATTACAGCAGGCTTTAAATATCAATATATTAAAAACGGCATAATACATTCTTATTTCTTAATTTAAGCTTTTCATAATGAACACTGCTTTATTTCTGTGATAACATCTATAAAGATTAGGAATCATGATAAAAATCAATTTGCGAGCGACAGTACAAGCCCAACAAGCATGGGGTAAACAAACTCTTTAGAAAACCAACCCTAGCGGTTTTCTGTTAATTTGTTTATGTGTGGGTAGCACAATCTTTATGGAAATTTTAAGACAAATAAAGTTTATTATTTAAGACAACCAAAAATGTTATATAAAATAGGAAGCTTACACTTATCTGGAAAAACAGAAAAAGATTTGTCAGATTTTATTTAACTTCAAAAATTTTCCATTCAATAAGAAACATGATTTTTTGTGACATATAAGATTAGAAAGAGAGCGACGAATGTGGATTGCAGGATTCTTATCAGCTGCATTAGGGTTTAGGTCCCGGCTAATTGATAAAAGCCAGGAAAAGAAAATGTGGATGTGGAAGCTGTTATTACCCTCTCATTTGACTTTTCTCTCTCACTCTCTCTCTATATTCTTATTTTTTGGGAAACTTCCGTGTTTTGATTTGTCGCCTTCAAATCGGATTGGTTGTGGCCTTACATAAAGCGAAAGAAAAACAAAACACAAAACCACTGACTACAGTAGCCACATGATAACACCACACGGCCAATAATATTGATAATGACTGCCTGACGACCCCGAAAAAAACCAAGCAGCACAGGCTGATAAATATAACCGATTGCTAATCAGAAGCACGTGCAATGGTGGGCGGGGGTTGCCTCCCAAATCAGTTTTCAATAATTCAATTAACCCCTTGGGCCAAATCAATTTATCCGCCTTGTGACTGTGCGAATTTTATCGTTATCGTGTTGCCATGAGTGTATTTTTGTCCGATTAAATCCACGCAAATCCAATTGGATAGCTGCGTGTACGACTTCGGTTTCCAATTAGACCAACATAGTCAATTGGAATTTATGGCACTTATTTTCTTGTACATTTCGCAAACCTGTTGTAAAAATAAACTGTAAACAAACAATAATTGCAGGCGAATTATAATAGTAACAATAGATGCACTGAAAAAAAATGGGTAAAGTAACTAAAAACCCGCACAATTTTTAATTATTGGGTAGATTTTGTTGCAATTTTTATTAAAAATAGAGTTTAAGAAAAGTTTTCTGCCACTAGTATGATTTATTAGATGAACAGCTCGTTGTTTTTGTTGTTTGTGTAGTATCAAATGCTAGAGTACAATGCGGAAACTGCAGACAATAACAAACGATGAACAACAACAAACCAAGAGAGAGAAACTACTGCACCAGCAACAACAACAACAACAAAACGCTTAACAAGAACAACTCGCAGAACCGCAAAGAATAACAAAAACAACTGCAGCGACGTCGTTTCAATGTCAAAGTGCTGAATGCAATAAAAATTGCGAAAGCAACAACAAAACTAGATTTATAGCAACAAAAGCACGAAGAAAACAAAATTGGAATAGGGAAAAACAACAACAGAACACAGCTGATGCACTTGATTATACGGGCGTGACACTTGCTGGAAATCAACTTTTGGGAAATTACAAGTGTCTTCATGCTGAATAATTCACCAGAGGTCTTTGAGTCATTTAAATATATGTAGCTCTCTTTTTGAAAAAAATGCTGGGAAAATCGAAGCGTACGAATTTGATTTTTAGTCGACAAAAGATATTTAAAAGTATGTTAAAGGTTTTTGCACCCCTTTTTTCTACGCGAAACGGCATAAATATCATTTTATAATAATGGCATTCAAGTTCAGAACTCGCGGATTCATCTAATTATGGTCATTTAATTTTCAGTAATCCATGAGCCAGCCAACAATTTAAGAACTTTCCAAGAAGTGTCTAATTTTGCCGACTAATCATAATGATAGAGGTGTGAAGTCCTCCTAGAATTGAGCCAGTGGGAATGTACATGTGTTCGGGCTGTATAATTGATTCGGTGAAAAAAGCCCAACAAACCATATGGAACCGATAGTGGATTCTTTTCACCAATGCCTGGTTCCACTTTTCCGCTTTTCCAGTGGACATAGTTTTCTAAAAATCATTGGCACGCATTGCGAAAGTCCTCTTTAGAGAAAGAAAAACTATATATTTTGTCTACCAAAGTCCGGAAAAATGTTTGCTGTTAGTAAAAAAAACAGAGGGTTGCAGTTTTTTGGGAAATGTTTTTTAGAAACTAATGCAACTCTGTGGAAAATACTGGACATTCCTTAGATGTTAGAATCGGAACCAGTTCGATACGACAACCCTTTTGAATTGGGCCGCAAAAACAAAAAGCTGTCAGAAAAGTTCTTCTTTTTTCGCAAAAGTTTTTCCATGCGGAAGGATGAGGGTCTTTAAAGTAAGCCTGCGAGTCGAAAGAAACCCATTAATCCGGTGCACCCTTCTCCGGTTTCGTTGCAGATGTACATGTACTGCTCGCTGGGCCTGCTGGGGATCCTCTTCCTGGCCTGGTTCATGTACTTCAAGCGGATGGCGCGCCTGCGCCAGCTGGACGAGCTGGCCCTCTCGCTGAGTGCGGTCACCTCCTCCTCCGGCGGCGATCTGCGTGCCCTGCGCTTCCGGAAGCGGGACAAGATGCTCTTCTACGGCCGGCGAATGCTGCGCAAGATGAAGAACGTCAGCGGTCAGATGTACAGCAGCGGGAAGGGCTACAAGCGGCGAGCTGTGATGCGATTCGCCCGGCGGATACTGCAGCTGAGGCGGGACAATATGCCGCTGGAGATGCGGACGGTGGAGCCGCCGGCGGAGTATCTGGAGGAGACCATCGAGGGCAGCGACCGGGTGCCGCCCGATGCGCTCTACATGCTGCAGAGCATCCGCATCTTCGGGCACTTCGAGAAGCCCGTCTTCCTGCGCCTCTGCAAGCACACCCAGCTGCTGGAGCTGATGGCCGGCGACTATCTGTTCAAGATCACCGATCCCGACGACAGTGTCTACATCGTCCAGTCGGGCATGATCAATGTGTACATCTCGAACGCCGACGGCAGCACGCTCTCCTTGAAGACGGTGCGCAAGGGCGAGTCGGTCACCTCGCTGCTCAGCTTCATCGACGTCCTGTCGGGGAATCCCAGCTACTACAAGACGGTCACCGCCAAGGCCATCGAGAAATCGGTGGTCATTCGACTGCCCATGCAGGTGGGTTTCCCATCTTTACATTGAATACAATCAGGAGTAATCCATACATACAACTTACTTTAATTGCAGGCCTTCGACGAGGTGTTCCAGGACAATCCGGACGTGATGATCCGCGTGATCCAGGTGATCATGATCCGCTTGCAGCGAGTGCTGTTCACCGCTCTGCGGAATTACCTCGGACTGAACGCCGAACTGGTGCAGAACCACATGCGCTACAAGAGCGTCTCCACGATGGGCGGTCCGATCAACTCGCAGTGCTCGCAGGCGTCGCGCCATCCTCCGCCGGCCAACGGTCCGCCCACGGTGGTCACCCAGCTGAATGCGGGATCCTCCGGCGTGGCTGTCACCGTGACGCGACCGCCACCGTCGCCGTCGCGACACTCGCGCGAGGAGCACACGCTCTCCGATCCGAATCCCAATCCGGATGGCAGCGGCGCCCCGGCGCGAGCAGCCTGTTCAACGAGGTCAATGCGGACGTGTTCCACCAGCAGCAGCACTCCGTGGGCAATCTGTCGACGCGCAGGGGCTCCATCACCCAGATGTCGCCCGATGGCCCGCAATCGATGTCCCAGGCACCCGGCGTGGTGCCCTCCATTGACATGCGCCTGGTGCAATCCTCGGCGGTGGACAGCCTGCGCAAGGAGCTGGGCCTGCCCGAGGAGGACGCCCACATCATCGAGCCGTTCGTCGAGGTGCGCGAACTGGAGCCGAACGTCACTCTGATCACCGAGGGCAATGCGGACGATGTCTGCGTGTGGTTCGTGATGACCGGCACGCTGGCCGTCTTCCAGAGCAACCAGGACGCCTCGCGCGCCAAGCAGGACAAGAGCGACATGCTCATCCACTTTGTGCATCCGGGCGAGATCGTCGGCGGCTTGGCCATGCTGACGGGCGAGGCCAGTGCGTACACGATCCGGTCGAGGAACAACAGCAGGGTTGCCTTCATCCGACGGGCGGCCATCTACCAGTGAGTGTTGGGTATTCCTTGCTATGGAGCACTTTTAGGACTTAACTCTTTGCCCTTTCAGAATCATGCGACAGCGACCGCGCATTGTTTTGGACCTGGGCAACGGAGTGGTGCGTCGCCTGTCGCCATTGGTGCGGCAGTGCGACTACGCCCTGGATTGGATCTTCCTGGAGTCGGGAAGGGCGGTGTATCGGCAGGACGAGAGCAGCGACAGCACCTACATTGTGCTCAGCGGACGCATGCGTTCGGTGATCACGCATCCCGGCGGCAAGAAGGAGATCGTCGGCGAGTACGGCAAGGGGGATCTCGTGGGCATCGTCGAAATGATCACGGAGACGTCGCGCACCACGACGGTGATGGCTGTGCGCGACTCGGAGCTGGCCAAGCTGCCCGAGGGCCTGTTCAATGCCATCAAGCTGCGCTACCCCATCGTGGTGACCAAGCTGATTAGCTTCCTCAGCCACCGCTTCCTCGGCTCGATGCAGACGCGCTCGGGCAGCGGGGCGCCGGGCGCGCCCGTCGAGGCCAATCCCGTCACGCACAAGTACTCCACGGTGGCCCTGGTGCCCATCACCGACGAGGTGCCGCTGACGCCCTTCACCTACGAGCTCTACCACTCGCTCTGTGCCATAGGTGCGTATATAGATCCGTTTAAGTCGTCTCGCTCCTTGCCTCCCTGCTCCTGAAAACGATCTATTAGGATTTGTAACTGCTCCTTGAATTCCCTGAAACGGCTGACTTGCGGAAGTAGCTAGCTACTGGCATCGAAAAGTAGGGATTCATCTTAGTTTACATTCAAGTATTCACAATTACTTTTCCTTTCGATGTGTGCTATCCTAATATGTTATATACTTTTTAATGGATTCGGAATTGCAGTTATATTTTTATTTTAGAATCCTTTAGAATAGGAAAAACATGCTTCACCCAACTTGTACTATTAATTGTAAAACCAAATAGATTTTAGGTAAACAGGAGGGACTCAAAGTTATTAAGCCAGTTTTCAGCCTATAGAACATTTTATACTTTTTTCCGCTAAGTTTTATTCAGAACACAATGGACAAGTCCGGTAAAGTTTCACATTGCTGCACTGTGGCCCCGAAATGCTGGTGATTTCTAATGTTTACCCTTACGTTTCTCGACCAGGACCCGTCCTCCGTCTGACCTCCGACGTGGTGCGCAAGCAGCTGGGACCGAACATCTTCGAGGCGGCCAACGAGTACCGACTGACCTCGTGGCTGGCGCAGCAGGAGGACCGCAACATCATCACGCTCTACCAGTGCGACAGCTCGCTGAGCGCCTGGACGCAACGCTGCATGCGGCAGGCGGACGTCATCCTGATCGTCGGACTGGGTGATCGATCCTATCTGGTGGGGAAGTTCGAGCGCGAGATCGACCGGCTGGCGATGCGCACGCAGAAGGAGCTGGTCCTCCTCTATCCGGAGACCACCAACGCCAGGCCGGCCAACACGCTCAGCTGGCTGAATGCCCGGCCGTGGGTCACCAAGCACCACCACGTGCTCTGCGTCAAGCGCATCTTCGCGCGCAAAAGTCAATACCGCATTGTGAGTTCGCCATCGAATGGATCATCATATCGTAGATTCGATAAGCTATTAGGAACATAATTCAGTGTTTATCATGTGCACCTTTTGTATCTGGAAAGTATTTGTGCTTATCAGGCTTTTTATTACCAATAACACTGGTAGATTTATGGATCTCTTCATTTGTCATGAAAGCCAATGTATTGAATCAATTGAACTGAGGGTAGTTAAAGCATTTGTCGCTGATAGTTTATCGTTTAACGATGGCCACTACATCCAATTAAACTTCCGTAGCACTGCGTTAATTTAGATTAGAAGCAACCAGATTTCGTGGACATATGTATATTGGCCAACGTTTCCGCAGAAGTCGTGAACACCTGAAATGTTATCAGTGCATATCTATTCTTGGAACAGCTAGCATTGAAGTACTAATAGGATTGGACACATAGATTAGAGTGATTAGGTCTTTATTGTGGCCCTTAAAATGTTTATGGGGAACTCCTATTTGATTTATAGATTAGAAAGGAAAGCTCTTACCATTCCGTTTTTTAACTGCAAGTGTTGTTTGTTTTACTTGAGCAGTATTTTGATATGTTCCAATGATTTGATCCAATCCCATCTTGTCTTGCAGAATGATCTCTACAGTCGCGTCCTGCTGTCCGAGCCGAACATGCATTCCGACTTCTCGCGTTTGGCCCGCTGGCTTACGGGCAACTCGATTGGCCTTGTGCTGGGCGGCGGTGGAGCGCGCGGTGCCGCCCACATTGGCATGCTGAAGGCCATCCAGGAGGCGGGCATCCCCATCGACATGGTGGGCGGCGTGAGCATCGGTGCCCTCATGGGAGCACTCTGGTGCTCGGAGCGCAACATCACAACGGTTACTCAAAAGGCGCGCGAGTGGTCAAAGGTTGGTCTCATAGGAAACTACATTTTCTTACCATTGGAAATGATATCACTATGTTTTTGATAACTACTTTAGAAAATGACAAAATGGTTCCTACAACTGCTTGACCTCACCTACCCGATCACATCGATGTTCTCCGGACGGGAGTTCAACAAGACGATCCACGACACCTTCGGGGATGTGAGCATCGAGGACCTGTGGATACCCTACTTCACTCTCACCACCGATATCACCGCCAGTTGCCATCGCATTCACACCAATGGTGAGTCAGTTGTGCTCCACATTTGCCTTCTCTCTCTCCCTCTCTCTTTCTCTTTCGCTTTGTATTGGTCTGTCTCTGTCATTACTGTCTCTTTACATTCCGTTTTTAGTGTAGTCGGTATCGGTTAACTGGGTTTTTGGTTATTAAGATCCTTTTTGGAATGTAACAATTCGTTTTTTTTATGGTGGTAGAAATAAAAAAAAAATGGTTCGAAACCGTAAAACTTCATTTAAACATAATAATTCAAAATAAATTCAAGGTTTAATTAATTTTAAAATATTTTTTACCGATATCAACTACAGTTGTTAACCTCTTTGTTATACTATCTCCTTAATGCTTCACCGATTTTTTGTTTGCTTTCTGCGATTACTTTTGGTTTTGTGTCCTGGGATTAATGTTCCTTTAGTTCCGATTTGTTTTTGTACTGTTCTGTGGTTCCTGATCCTTTTGATCCTTTGGTAGCCTTAGAACTGAGTGTACCCAAAAGTGAAACCCCCGACAATGAGACACAGACACAAGCACGCACCCACCCACCCACACACGAACACATACAGCCCCATTCCACAAGGCCCGCTATTTAATAGAGGCATTTTGTTCACATTTCTAACTGTTCCTTTCTGCCGTGGAATTGACTAGTTATTGGCGCTGCGCTGCCGATCGAATGTGCCGTTATGTTTGAATTACCAAATTAAATCAATCTCATTGTTGCTGTTGTTGTTAATGTTGTTTGGAAAGCTTGTGCCAAAAATCGAACAATAAAATATTGGCTCATGTGCTTTTTGCTAGAGGCTAAACTTATTGCTCCCCCCTTATTAACCCCCATTGCTGCTTTCATTAAAACCCTTATTCAATTGGAGCTCCTCATCCCAATATTACTCCATTCCATTCCCCACATCCTCGCCAAAAAAAAAAGAAAAGATCGCTCAAAGCTATTTTCTCTCAATCAATCTCTCTTATTTTTCTTTTTCCTCCCCCCCAAAAAAAAAACATCTAAAAACACAAATACCCACTGACTTATCATTGCTGGCATGTGTCTGTCGTTGATAATATTATACCAGGATCTCTGTGGCGTTACGTACGCTCCTCCATGTCGCTCAGTGGCTACATGCCACCGTTGTGCGATCCTAAAGATGGGCACCTCTTGCTGGATGGCGGCTATGTGAATAATCTGCCAGGTAATTAGCAATTAGCACTTAGCAACTAGCAAATAGAATACGATTTAACAAACAAACAATTATAAATACTTAACCCCGAGCGTTAATCCAAAATCTCACTTTCAATTTCCAATCTAGAGCTGAGTTTTTCGGCACACAGAGCGCGCAGAGTGTTGGAAATTCCACTTGTTCGATCATGCTTGCCTGCGTTCCGAGTTCTATGTTCCACGGTTCACGTCCCCAGTCCTTATTCGATCCGCTCCGTTACTTTTTCGCCTTGACTCCAAATATCCTTGAATTGCTGTTGTATATTTGATGTTCTTGTTGTTATAGATGTATAAAAGTTTGACATTTTTTTAATTGGTCCGGCAATGCTGGTGTCTGCCTATCGATAGTTTGCGTGGCCTGCATTTATAACGGTAAAGCGCATTTGTTTACACCCTCTGTCTCATTCCCACCCACACGACTAAACACAACAAAAACATAAACACACTTACAAACTTACACCTACGACACCTGAGTGCACAAAGTTTCTTTGGTTCTTCCACTGTTTATTTTAGTTTTTGATATTTTTTAGTTGCTTTAGTTTGTTTATTTTATTCCCCTGGTGTTGTTGATCATTTTGTTGTATGCGTATAAGTAAACCCGATTTAATTTGTAGTTGTAGCACTGAAATAATATGTTATTTCGTAGATAAAAGTGTCTCTTTCTCTTTCTCTCTCTCTCCTCATCTCTGAAACACATGACCTGTCTCTTTTACACAAAAAACAAACACAAACCCACGTGTTCGTGTCCGTGCCATTTACACACACACACACACACCCACAATACGATCTACAATGTTGTGCTGTTGTTGTTATGTCCCACCTGTAATTTGCAAACGGTGCAAAAAACGAAATCGCAAAAAATTAAAGGCCATCTGTGGCGATACTGCCGTGCCAGCATGTCGATTGCCGGCGTCTTTCCGCCATTTTGCGACTATCGCGACGGCCACCTGCTCCTCGATGGCTGTTACACGAACAATGTGCCAGGTAAACAAAAAACAAAGCAGCATCCTTGGGGTTCCCACGATCCACGCTCCACATCTGTAATTCCCGTTCCAACGCTCTGCGCCGCCCCTGCGTCCGCTCCAGTTTTGGGAATCGAATTTCGCGAGATCATTCCCCAGCATCTTTGGCTCCATTCCAAAGTTTTTTCCTTTCCAATCAAAATGTAACCTTTTTGAACCAAAAAGTGTATTTTTTAAAACCCACAGTATCCAGAAATCATTTAAAATTTTCTTGAGCTTTCTACAAGATTAAAAACTAATTGAAATATTCAAATATGCTGGAGGAAAAAAACGGTTTTAAATACGTTTAAAGTTGCAAATTTCTTTGAAATACATATGTGTAAAAATTTAAATTCTGAAACTTAAACAAATTGTTTAAGAACTTTTGTAAACGAACTCATTTTTGGCTGGTAATCGCAACTTTAAACGTTACCTTAAAACTTGATTTTCAAAATGGTTATACCAATAACAACAACTAACCAAACATTTGCATTGCATCCACTTTGACCACAAAAAAAAAAAAAAAAAAAAAACAACACGCATGCTCGCCACACCATTTAGCCGATGTGATGCACAATTTGGGAGCTGCTCACATAATCGCCATCGACGTGGGATCCCAGGATGACACCGACCTCACGAACTATGGCGATGACCTGAGCGGTTGGTGGCTGCTCTACAAGAAGTGGAATCCCTTCACGTCGCCGGTCAAGGTGCCCGACCTGCCGGACATTCAGTCCCGTCTCGCCTACGTGTCCTGTGTGCGCCAGCTAGAGGTGGGTTCACAATCCACACTTACCACCTGACCATTTAGATCTGATTTCGGTGTTACGTTTCTCTTTTTCGCAGGAGGTGAAGAACTCCGACTATTGCGAGTACATACGACCGCCGATCGACAAGTACAAGACCCTGGCCTTCGGCAGCTTCGACGAGATCCGCGACGTGGGCTACGTGTTCGGGAAGAACTACTTCGAGAACATGGCCAAGGCGGGTCGACTGGGCCGGTTCAATCAGTGGTTCAACAAGGAGCCGCCCAAGCGGGGCAACCACGCCTCCCTCAACGAGTACACGTTCATCGATCTGGCGCAGATCGTGTGCCGACTGCCGGAGACCTACGCGGTGAATACGGCGGAGCTCTTCAGCGAGGACGAAGACTGTGATGGCTACATCTCGGAGCCGACAAATACGGTAGGTGGTCGATCCAGTACTAAGAGTTTTATATGAAATAATCCTTTACGCGGTTATTCCGCAGGATCGACGACGCATCCAAGTGCCGCGTGCCGGCAACTCGTTGTCCTTCTCCGAGACCGAAATGGACTCGGACGTGGAGATCGACCTGAAGCTGGAGCGCAAGCTGGACAAGTCCACGCAGTCCTCGCCGCCGACGACAGGCAGATCGAGTGGGCGTGGCCGGGAGACGCGCGAAGAGGCTAAGACCGAGGATCGTCGTTCGGATCGCGATTGGCACTGGGGTGCGAAGCACAAGGATGCGACTGACGGCGCGGCGGCTGCGACCACAAGCACTTCGCCCGCACAGCAGGATCCCGAGCAGCAGAGCCAGCGGGATCAGGGGGGATCAGGGGCCGAGCATCTGGGGGACAAGGACGAGGACAAGGAGAACAGGAGCAGCGCGAATAACGAAACCAAAAACTAGCTATGTAGACAGGAAAACCAATCGAGGCGGGGCTATCCACTCAACAGACTCAACAGCAGCCACAAGCTAAAAGGACGACGAGGTGCCTTCCGCTTGCCAGACGCCCAAAGGACCCCGCACTTCACCAACCAGGCAACCAAGCAACCAAGCAACTACTCAATCATCCAATCTCCAACGAAACAAACTAAATAGCAATGACAAGGAAATTTGTTAACCTCTAGGTTTTATAGCAACCAAGACTTAGGCTTAGCTTAGCATATGGAACGATCACCCATCCCAAAACCAATCCACATTCGCCAAAACCCACACACACACCCCGCACACACTCACACACACATTGTAATGGAGGCACAAGAAGTCCACAAACTTTGTATATACATATAGTTATATATTTTTACCGAAGCAACCGATATTGTAGCCACGAAACAGAGACTCCTTTGCAACGAGAGCCCCCAACAACCACAAATCCCGCCCTCCCCAAGAAAAAATGCCGCACACTTCTTTGTGTAGTCTCTCTATTATTTTGGGTGAGCAAGTCGTTTGTTAAACGGTCGGATTTTTTTTGTAAATGCAAGCAAATAAATTAAAACAATTGAAAGTACAAAAAAATAGTGGCTTTGCATTTGGGGATTTAAGGAAAAAGGAAATAGATTTAACTTTATATTAAAATGAGGTTAGGTTGCAATGATTTATAACAAGATATTCTTCCTATATTTTTGATTGATATTTTTGAACAAGGTACAAGTCAATTGTGATTTGTGGCGTCCATCAGCAGTTCGTCGAGCAACTCGGCCAGGAAACGGGCATCCACCACGAGATATGGTTCGGAGGCCAGGCCACTGGGACTCCAGCTGTCCATCTCCATCCCATGGTAGCTGCAGGGATAGATGTACACGTACTCCTCCTCCTTGGACAGGCGATGCTGGGACGATGGGAGATCCTGGAGCTGCTGCAGCTGCACATTCCGGCGACCCGGTAGCCGATGCATCAGCAACTGGCGACCCACGACAAGCAGATCCAGTTTGCCACCGGAGTTGTCCATTCGGTAGGGTTGCCGCCTTGCCTCGTCGTTTGCATGGTTCCCGTCCAGCGATATCGCCGCCTGCTGACCGCCGCTCATCCGCATCCGCTGGCCGGGATCGCCGGCGAGCGGCGGCTGCAGGAGCGGATCGTTGAGGAGCAGATCGCTGGATCTCTTGCCCGTCAGCCGCTGGAGGCGTCTGCCAATCCTGTCCCACTCCCTCCGCTGGCGCTGATGAGCCTGCTGCAAACGCCAAAGGGTTGCCTCCTTCATTTTTTCAAAGTGCTTTTTGATTTTTTTGTAACCGAAACTCTTTTTTATCGAAATGCTGACCTAAATTTTGGTTTTCCAAAACTTGTGACTATAGTTGACTTCGCTTTTCCCGTCACCAGTCATCTTTCATTTGGATTGAAAACGTCGACGAAGACGCAGTGTTCAGGCAGATTTTCACATTTATAAACTCTTTAGCTTTAACTTTAACTTTAAAAGCAGAAAAACTTGCTTCAAAATTCCGTTTACTGAACTTTGTTCCGCAACATCGGCTGTGATAACTTTCGTTTTTCCAATCGCTTTTCCAGACAGGCTTTCATAGAAATAGAAATGAAGAAACGCGGAAACAGGGCTAAGAAAGGTAAGTATTTAGGCCACAGGAACTTGGTATTGCTGCAGGTAAAGCTTGCGAATTAAGACCACAATTCACGGTTCAAAACCGAAAACTGCTATTGTCAAACTTTTTTGCATTGTCATCGAGAAATGACATTTGACAAATTTGACAGCATACTAAAAAAGTTTTCAAAAAATAACACTTTCTCACATTCGTTAACTAATTTAAGACGGACAATAAAATAAAATTAAATGCTTGCTGTAAGTGCAAATGCTTTAGATCAACCACTTAAGTATTACATCCTTCCCTGCCAACAAAGGTCTATCATATATATTTTTTTTTTTTTTTTTTGTATTCGAAATGAATTCAGAAACTCACTCCTATTTTAATTATGACACTTAGGCCGCCGTTGTGGGGGACAGGATGTGGCGGCGAATGCGGTGAGGCGGCCCAAGTACTTGCCGAACCTGCGCTGCCTGATCATGCCGATGGTGTTCTACGAGTCGAAGGAACGGGTCGCAGCAGCCCGGCTCTTCCTCGAGATCCACACGCACGATGCGGATGCGGCGGCCCTGTTCGAGGGGGTCACAGCGCCCCGCTTCCAGGTGCCGCGCTCGCTCTTCCCGCACCGCGCTCCCGTGGACAAGATCGTCTTCTTGCCGCCGCCCATGCTGCCGGCTGGCTTCGAGGCCGGCGGGGTCTTTGGTCCGGGCGTGATTCCACGACGCTTCTATCCGACCGGACTGATGCCGCCCGGTCACAAGGGACAGACGCCGCCGCTCTTCGTTGGACTGCGCCGCCAGGAGGTGTACATTCCGCCTGTGCTCAAGAGGCTCCTGTTTCCCGAGGCTCAGTCGGACTCCCCACCAGCTGCCGACAGCTCGAGGCCACCGTCTCCGCCGCAGTGGCCAGTGGAGAAGGCGGCTCCGCCGAGGCGCCGGGTTTCGCACAGTTGCGTCCACGAGCTGGTCAACCTGGAGCTGAAGCTCCGTCGCGAGGAGTTCCCCACGTCGAATCTTATCGCACCGCCGCAAAAGCCGCCGCAACAGCAGCAATCGAAGCATCCGCGGCGCCACACTGTCGTGCAGCTCAACATATACACGCCGGATCTGAGCAACGTGCTCATCATTCCCGGCAAGGGCGATTTCACGGTGGCCGTTCTCTCCACGGTCAACCATCCGCATGTGCCCGCCGTGGCACTGGCCGCCATGGGCGACGAACCGTGTCCGGTGTTCGAGCTCTCGCCGCAGATCTTCCCCACGGAACCGTCCAAGCAGCCCGTTTTCCTGCCCAAGCGCTATCTGCCGAAGGGATTCGAGGCCTGCTGCGTCTTTCGACCGGGCACTCTGCCGGATGCCTGGTTCTACGGATCGCTGCGCAGCGACGACTCTCCGCTGCCGCAGCTCAGCACTGGGATCAATCCGCCGGTGGCCGTGGCCAAGTTCACCAGGGGAGGGGTGACCACCAAGCTGTTCAAGGAGCTGCACTTGGTCAACGAGAAGCCACGCAGCGATGATGGTACACCCGAGGTCGATATCAAGTCCATGGAGTTCGGTCAGTTGCAGTCCGTGGTCCGTGGCCCCAAAGGGCTGATCCTCCTGATCACCGATGGTCCGGAGACGCCGAGGGGTGCCCAGAGTCTGCAGGAGGACACGGATCCCGACGAAATGGGATGCTTTTTGAAGATCAAGCGCGGTGCGAGAGATTTTGTGGTCGAAAAACCCTCAGATGATGATGAAACTACAGATGAGGAAAGCGATCAGTCCCAAGAAAGGGTGAAGAGAGCTAAAATAGAAACGGAAGAAACGGAACAGGAAACCGAAACAGAAGGCGAATCGGTAACCGAAACGGAAACCGAATCAGAAGAAGAAACTGAAACAGAAATTGATTCAGAAACTGAAAAAATAACTAAAAAAGAGACTGAAGAAGAAACTGAAGAAGACACTGAAGAATACACTAAAGAAGACACTGAAGAAGACACTGAAGAAGAAACTGAAGAAAACCCTGATTTAGACACTGAAGAAGAAACTGAAGAAGACACTGAAGAAGAAACTGAAGAAAACCCTGAACTAGACACTGAAGAAGAAACTGTAGGAACTAAACAAGAATTAGTATTAGAAACGGAAACCGAAACAGAAGCTGAAACAGAAGCTGAAACTGAAACAGAAAATGAATCTGAAACGGAAACTGAAACCGAACCGGAAATCCAAATGGCAACAAAAGCGGAACCCGATAGCGAAACCGAAACCGAAACTGATGAGGAACCGGAAACCAAAAAGCAGGAGGCCAAGAAGAAGTACCTCAAGTACTTCCACGTAGATAGCAACTTTGATCAGATCGCCGAGGCCGTGGCCAACATGGGCAAGGTGGAGATGGAGCTGATGGTCAAGGAGGACTCCCTGCCCGGGATAAATCTCGATCGCGCCCTGGACCAGATGCGCATGCTCTTCGAGGACCGCATGGCGATCCGTGCGCAGAGCGCCAGAACCATGGTGGATCACGCCCAGAGGATCGAGGAAGGTCGTCGCCAGGCTCTGCGCAAGGAGAGGAAGCCCTGCGGCCAGTGCGGCAAGGTCCACTAGAAGGATGAGAAGCTATCGATTGCAGTATTACATATGTAATTTAATATACTTTCTTTTGCAATGATTTTTCTGTTTAATTTTATTCAGGGTTTTTCGCTTTGTCACTCAGAATGCATGTTTACATTTATATATTATTTTCTGCTTTTTTTTTTTTGTGTGTGTACTAGGGTTCTAGGGATTGTGTGTGTTAATTGTGGTTTTTTTTTTTGGGAGTGTGTTTCTGTGCTGTGCCATATTTAATCTCTTAAATCGTGTAGGTTCTGTTTATGCAGAAAAGTATTTAGTTAGTCTAGGAGGCCAACCAAAACATCTAGATTTGTTTAACTAGAAAAAAAAAACGTTAAACGTATATAGAAAGAAAGAAGTTGATATTTTATCATATTACACAAGATGCAGCTTCGTTTTCACAGTATTTACAGTTCGCAGCAATATTTACCCATGTCTTTTTGATGGAAACTTATACCAAGGTCTAGACAACCAGGTTTTCTTTATGAAGAAATCAATTCAACTTTCTCAACACTCCCGAAAAAACCTTAAATACATTCATATATGTTTCTAGTTCTTGAAATATTAGCTAGTCTTTGCAGTGGATCATCTATTTGATCGTTCAATAGAAATGTGCTCAAGTTTTGGATTGAAACAATATCGTCGAACTTCCAGTGCAGCGCCGCTTACGTAACACACAATTTGTAAAAACTAATAACAAATTCACTTCCGATCCTAGCGTTTCCAATTCAAGTCTCCCACTTTGCCACTTTCCTTCTTAATTACATAATATTTATGTATAATTGGGTACTTGCAAACTAATTTCTACGCAATTCACAATTCGCTTTTCGTTTATTGGTTTTTGTATTTTTCTTTTTCTTCGTTTTGCATTAACTTTAGTATATATGGTATTTATATATATATATGGATATATATATATATTTATGTATATATTAACTAATCATTTTTCATTTTTTACATGCACAAACTCATGAGGCCAAATTAGACAATCGTTATATTGTGTATAGTTTTATTTGTTATTTATATAATTTGTTATTTATTACTTTGCTTTCTTGCCTTCGTTTCCCTAAAAAAAAAACCTATAAGAGTTAAGGACTTAAGACTTAGTTTAGGTAGGTAGAACGCAACTAGAGAGACCCGCGCAGTGCTTAAATGTCTGGTTATATCGGCTTTATTTTCGTCGTTTTCGTCTTCGCCCAACAATTTGGGTGGGTAGCGTATTTAAATATTTTATTTTTTTAAGTCGTCACATTAAACTGTTTGATAGATATTCTTTTGTTGCTCGCGAGATTAGGCGGATTTGTTGTTTAAGGTATATTATGCGTTTCTCAATTGAACAGTTCACAACAAACGATCATATAGCTGCAGTTTTTCAGTTTTTTTTCTTCTTTTGTTTTTCGTATTGGCTTTCCTGCATCCATATTTATAAATATTTTTATATATATAAATGTGTAATATCAATTAATTGCAATTTGCCGACGTTGCTTTTCTAGGTGCGTTGAGGGCGGATGTGTAGGTGTGTTCGTGAGCCTGAATGCCGAAAACCAATACGAATGTGGATACGTTATAGATGCGGATATCGGTTAGCGGACAGAACGTGTTTGGTGTCCTAGTTGTAATCCTAATCCTCCTACCCGTTACAAGCTCCGAAAACAACAACGAAACTTGCTTAATTTTAGCGGGGAAAAGTGGGCGGGGCGGGGTGGGGTGGTTGCTTTGGGATTGGGATTGATTAGTTTGTTTTTTTGGGGGCCTGGGTAGTTAGTCTTGGTTGGGAGATGTGTGTCCATGGGCTGCCGGGTTGATGGGTTGACTGGTTCGACTAGGCGAGGAGCGGCCGGGCATCCAATCCCATCTCAGATCTGGCCAACCAGCTCCTGGATGCTGCGCAGTAGATCTTCCATATTTCACAAGAGATCCCGGTGGAACACCCAGGTGTGTTTTGTGTGAGCAAACTTGTGGGAGAGCCACTGCGACTCGAGCAGGTTAAAGCGGTCTTGGCTCAGATACAGAGGTTTGCCGCGCCTGCAGAGAGTTTCCATTGATTAGAAATCATCTCGAACGGGGGGTATGATAAAAGCACTCACTTGAGATCGCGATCCTCCTCGTCAAAGTCGTCCAAATACAGCGAGCCCCAGAGACAGGCGCGTCGTCCGCGGATGACAATGATGTACGTGGAGGTGACCACCAAGAAGATGCCAATGCCGCCGCCACAGGAAAGCGTGTGCTGTTTGTCCAGGGGAAATCGAAAGGGAATTTAATAGGTTTCTTCATTTACTTGAATAATCAGTAGCGAAGAGCTCACCCGAACAGCCTCGCAGCAATCGTTCTCCGCACAGCAGTTCTGCTTGAGGCACACGATCGTCCCGCACAGCAGGCAGATGGAGCTCTCCTTGGGCACCTTGTAGCAGTTGAGGCAGGGCCTTTCGTGGTAGTACTGTCAGCAGATGGCGGAGAAACCAAGTTATTACCCATTACACACACACAAAATGCAACATGAATAATGCTCTGTACTGTACTCACCGTGAACAAGCGCTCGTATTCGCGCGGCAGCTCGAGGAGGCGCGGCTGCTGCCACAGCGAGTGCTGATTGATGAGCACCAACTCCCTGACGGTGTCCGTCGGCGGACGCACCTCCATGAGCTGCTGGCACCAGAACTTGGGCAGCGACTCCTCGGTGCCGGGTATGAAGCACAGTCCCTTGCTGGCGTTAAAGCAGTCCCAGTCCATCGAGTCGGTGACCAGTTCCAGGTAGTAGACCAGACGCACAAACTCCAGTCCCGGTGCCGAGATCTCCGGCATCTCGTGGCGGTAGAGATGCTGGCGCAGCAGGGCGGCCACTCGGAGGAAGGGCAAACAGAGCGACTGCAGCTGCAGCTCCATTGACTTGAGGTTCACCTCGTGCGGCGAGGATGTTGCGGAGGTCGATGGAGAGGCGGCTGCTGCTGCTGCTGCTGAGGAGGAAGAGGAGGAGGAGGAACCTGCTGCTGCTGCTGCAGCCGCCGCCGCTGCTGCCGAACTGCTGGTGCTCGGTATGCAATCGCGTCGCAGATGGGCCAGCTCATTTGTCTGGCTGAGCACCAGAGCCATGGCCTTGCCCAGTTCCGAGGAGCTCTGCTGCTGGTGGCCACCACGTCGTCGATTGTAGCTGCTGCTGCTGCTGGTGGTGGTTCCTGCGCTCGATTCTTGGCTCGCTTGGCTTTCAGACGAGGCTTCAGTGCTGTTGCCGCCGTAAACCTTGAGAATGTGAGCGCACTCGAAGTCCGTGAGGGTGACGCACAGCTGAACGACAATCTGGTAGTACAGCAGGTTGTACATGACCTTTACCATGCAGGTGAAGTAGTCTACGACGCAGAGGAGCCAGATGAGATTACCATTCAACAGTGAGAAGTAGGTTTACTCACCCTGATCCAAGTGCAGAGGAGCCAGCAGAATGAACTTCAGGAGCAGCGCAATGGTGTCCGCCAGCAGGCTGGGTATCAATTCGAGGCAGTGCGCCGGCAGCGGTTCGGTGTCGTTGACGGGCAGGCCGGCCAGCGAGGCCCAGCTGCTCCACAGCGGCCACTCGACCAGGACGCGCACATGGACCGACAGCACATGGAGCAGCGGCACAATGCAGTCCCGCTTCGGCTTGTAGCGCGTGGCATTCGACGAGCAGAGCGATCCGCCGCGCTGGATGATCTCCGCCTCCAGATTCGTGCGCGCTATCGATGTGACGAAGATGAACAGCTTGCGGAACGTGATCGAGGCGCACTTGACCTTGCGCTGCGAAATGTTCGTCATCACCTCCATGGCATGGCCCATGGCCTCCGTCAGTTTGGTTGGCTGCTAAACGTAGAGGAACGAGGTTTGGTTATAACAACGTTGGATATTCAAGGAGGGAATGTAAGTAATGTATCCCTACCGGTATCGTCTCGTTCTCCTTGATCAGATCGGTGAGATCGGCGACGAGGCGCTCGAACGGCTGGTTGCCCGAGCGCACCAGGTGCGTCGGCCTGTCCAGCTGCGGACTGAGCGGCAGCACCGAGTTGGAGAGCTGCCGGCAGACGGGGCAGTAGAACTCGCCGCGATCCTGCACCGGCTGGCGCTGCGTGGTGTACAGCGTCTTGAGATAGGCCTCCAAGCAGCTGAGGTGCACGTGGTGGCCGCACGACTGCACATGCACCCCGTTGTCGTAGGCCATGTTGTTGGACAGATACCAGGACTCGTCGCCGAACTTCACGCTCAGCAGCTCCGTGCGCCGATTGAACTCGGTGGCCAGCCGTGTGGTGTGCGCCAGCCGAAACTCATCCTCGACGTTCAGCGGCAGCGGCAAACGCTCGGCGATGCGCCGCCGATGGCCAACGATGCCGCTGGAATCGATCAGAACCACCAGGCCGATGGGATTCGACTCGGTGCTCGGTGTGGTGCAGTTGCAGATGATGCAGTCGTACTCCTTCTCGCGCGGCTGCTCCTCGTACAGCTCCTCGTCGTCCTCGTCGTCGGCGCAGAACTCCATGCTGCTGGCCGCCGCCGCCGCCGACTGCATGAACTGCTTCTGCTTGTTGGCAAAGTCCTGCATCATCTTCTGTTGGCGCTCGCGTGCCTTCTTCCGGCGCTCCTCCTTCTCCTTCGTCTCGCGCGCCCTCGCCTCCGCCTGCTTCTCGCGCTGATTGGGCCACAGTCTGGCCCGGATGTCGTCGATGCTCAGCGCACACTGCTCGTCCTGCTTGGCGATCTTGCGCAGCAGGTTGCCAATGAAGAAGGGTCCGTCGCCGATCCGTGAGGACGAGACATGGATGTTCTTGTAGTTGCGCCGGCTGCGTCCTCGCTCGGCCAGAGCTGTGCTCTCGGCGGCCGCCGTCGAGGTGCTCGCCTCATTGCAGTCGACATCCATCGAGGAGGACTCCTCGCCGCTGGTGGCCTGCTCCTCGCCGTCGCTCAGCGAGAAGCTGTCCAGCGTGCCCGAGAGCTGCGAGTGCAGCTTGAGCAGCAGCGACAGAATGCTCTCGTCCAAGTGCAGCTCGTCCTTGTTGCCACCGCCGCCGATGGCAATGTCCACGGATCGCTTGCGCGCCCCGCCCGTCTCGTAGTTCATGCGGCGTCCCGTGCCGGTGCCACTCAGGCCGGAAATTAAACTGCCGCCGGCGCCCAGGGAGTTCGAGGGCACAATGTCCATGTTCACGCTGCTGGGCACGGCGACCGGCTGGACCCGCTGGAAGGGCAGCAGCATCCCGCTGCCCGTGGGCGTCGTCGGCGAGAACATCTCGTTGGGGGCCACGGCCGTCGGGGTGGCGGATGGATTCGCACCACCACCAGCACCACCAGCGCCTCCGCCGCCGCCGGCTCCGCCGATCACGCCCATGTTATTCGTCTCGGCCAGCAGGAGATCCCGCCGGATAGCCACCTCCATACCGCTCTCGGGCAACGTGATCTGCTGCAGCGGAAAGTGGAAGTCCAGCGCGGCGGCGGGACTCATGTCCATGGCATGATCGCCCTCGCGCAGCAGCTCGTCGTCGTTGCTGTCCTGCCGAATGACCACGCCCGTTTCGGCCACCACCGAAAGATCCGGCCGCAGGGCCACTTCCATGCCGGGCATCCGCATCGGCACCAGTGCCTGTGAGACATTCCGCCGGCTGAGGGCTCCCGTTCCCGGTCCCAGGGCCACGGATCCCGCACTCGCCGGTTCATCGCCCTCCGATTCGGCGACATGACGGATCATGCGCAACGACTGCTCCGTGTCCGCCTCGACGTCGAAGTCCACGTCGGGAAAGAACGGGTTCGAGCGGTAGCTGGAGGTGATCACCTGCGGATCCCGCGACTTGAGCGACACCTTCTTGACCACATGGCGCAGATTGCAGCTGAGATTGTCGGTCGGATAGCACTGGAACAGCTTGGGCGGCTCCTGTCGACCCGAGCCATAGCCATGGTAGCCCGGTCCGCCCGAGGACTCCACCATGGCAGCGAGCGCCGGCGGAGCACGGTCCCCCTGGCTGCCACCACTACCACTGCCACCCACGTCGTCGCTCGTCTCCACCGCAATCTCCAGGAGGAACACAGCCAAAGCGAGCAGGTGCTCGGACACGTCGCGCGTGTGCACCGCACGGAAGAAGATCGACAGGATGGTGGAGTGAAAGACGCGAGAGTTGAGGATCTTGCAGGGATCGCTGAACGAGCTCGTCGCTGGCAGAGCCTGCGGCAAGCGGAACGGTGGCCAGAGGTTTCCACTCGCCGGCATCTTGTCCTTGCTCTTCACGTAGTTCGTGAAGCGATCCAGCGACGACTGGAAGTCACGCCGGTGAACGGCTCGCAGGAGGACGTGCAGCGGATCGTAGTGCTTCTCCCACACCTCGTCGATGGGCGTGAAGAGACCCTGCTCCAGGTTCTCGCTACCACTCGACGGTGCCTTGTAGACGGACAGCTTCTTGAGGAAGGTCTCGAAGTTCTTGGTGTGCACATTTCCCGATCGCTCCGGCATCAGTTCGAGCAGCTGCGAATGCGTCTTGTTCTCGGTGGCCAACAGCGCACTGATCTCGATGATGCACTGTGTGGCCTCGTCGTTGCCCAGGTTCGTGCGACTCGTCACCAGCGTGGCCAGGAAGGTGAGGAATCCCTCCAGCATCGAGGACTGCTCCGCCTTCTGCGGCTGCTTCAACGGAGCCGTCTCCAGCCACTGGCCGACGTCGAACAGCCCGATCGTGTTCTGCAGGAAGAAGTACTGCGGCAGTTTAGTGGCGCATATCTGCAGGAAGAACAGGTCCATGTCCGCCATCGAGTTGCAGAAGTTCGCCTGGATGTAGGTCATCGCTTGGCCTTTGACCTGCAATCCATTGCGCACCCACTTGCCGGCTAGGATCTCGTAGAAAAAACTCTGAAAAATAATTAAATTGAAAAGATATAAGTATTATAAAAAAAGAGTAAGTATTTGTAAAAAAAAATATATAACATAAATATTTTGTTTTTTAGAATATAATTTAGGATAAAGTTAAAAGTAAAATAAAATAACGGTACGCCTTTCAATGCGATATTCGTGAGACATCGATGACACTTACGCAGCGTTATCGAAACTCGTTCGGAAAGTCAACTCTGAGCGCGTCAGCTCACTCCCACTTATGCTTTGACTTCTGCTGACTCGCTCTTCTCTCAAAAAAAAGAACCGTAAAAAACAAAGAAACAGAGTTGTCTCTCTCTTTGTGTGTGTGCGAGACAGGGTGTCTGCAAACAACAAAAAAAGATATAAAAGAAAAGAAAAGAGAAGAGAAAAAGACTAGTACAACCCACATCTGTTGGTTTTTTTAATCAATCTCGGAGGCAGCGAGAGCAGCGCAGCCGATTAAATCCAATCCCCAGAAAATCGACGCTCGAGACTAAACGCGACTCACTGTTTTTCTGGCGGCCGCATTTGCGTTTTGATTTTCAGCGGGCTCAGTTGCGTGCCAGCCTGTCTGTGTGTGCGTGTGTGTGTGTGTCTGTAAACAATTCTTGTATAGGCGAAATTTAATCATAATATTTAAACGGCACCCCATCATATCAACCCCACCGATCAGATTCAGCAAAAAGAAATAAAAAATCAAAATAAACAAAACACACACGCACGACAAACGGCTGCCTGCAGAATGGAATTTATAAAACGGGGACTTCCCCTGCTGTTGGCCATTTTGGTGGTCTTTCAACCCACGCAAACAGAAGGACTGATCGAGGATGTTTTGGACATAATCCATGTGGTCAAAGAGGTCTCCTCTGGGATCTTAAAAGCCTGGGATATTGTGCAATCCTCGCCACTGGCTGCCAATATTGATTTCCCACTCATGAGGGAAAAACAAAAGAAGGTCTTACAGCGGTTAAAAGAAGTTAGCAAGCAAATAGATCAAACCGAAGATCAGGTAAGTCAGCATGGTACCCCGCTCTTTACTCTTTTTTGTTATACCCTTGAATATTTTAGTTGGGTTTTTGAATTATTATTTCAAACTTTGCCATCTTCCAAAGTATGATTAACCTCACAAAAAATATCCCACTTCAGCATGCTCAATATGTTGCCATGGCCATCGAATCGGTGACTGGCTTCATGCACAATAACGCTCCAATTATGGCAAAAATGAACGACATCTCGGATACGATCAATAGGATATCATCGCGTTATCAGCAGATGCAAAAGTACGAGGCTTACAAGGACAAGTTGGAAATGTCGACGCTTATAACATTTGCCGAATGGACCGTTTCGCCGAATGCCCATTCGGTGCACCACCTGATGGATCGACTGCATATTACACTTCTCGGCAACGAAGATAGATCGTCAAATGCAACGTCCAGCAACCTGTTACAACAACTGGCCACCGCTTATGAGGTAATACAGTCTAACATTTATGTGATCTACTCCGCTTTCAGGTCTTATTTGCGGGGGGTGTTTAATTTTATATATAGCCCTAGAGAAAGACAACTTTAATATACTCTTTTTAGATGGTGGTTTAAATTAAGACACGTTTCACTGTAATAATGCAGATCGTGAATGGGGTGTCAATTTGCGAATTGCTTCCTGTATGTCTGTTAATCGGATGACTCATGATGCTCGCCGGGGATGTGATTTTATATGTAGGTCTAGACACAGGGGTTTTAAGCATTGTAAACTCGACTTTCCGGTTGACGCGTCACTTAAATCTTCACCTTTTTTTCGTTATTTGGCAAAAGAAAGTCTTGCAGTGTATTAGTCATCGTTTCTTTTGTCGCCAAATAACGGTTAAACGCCGCCATACGCACTGCCTCTCAGAAAAAGACAGTAACCGGCCAACCCCCTTCTTGCGGGTGTGTTTGTGTATTTGCGTGAGGTCAAAGGTCTTGTGTCAACAAAAGACTGCGAAACAAGTTAAACAAAAACAGGGGTCCGCAAACAAAACGTCATAGAGGGCAATGCAGTAGCGCTGGCCCCATGCTGTGGGAGAGAAAGAGCGCATCTCTTTTTCAGTGCATTGGGGAGAGCGGGGCACCAAGAGAGAGAGCTAAGCACTGGAGAGAGCACTCACACAGCTGTTTGTCATACCAATTAGACGGCCGCCGAAACAAAAACAATGCGAGCACAACTTTCTAGTTATCGATTGTTCGCTTTGCAAGTGCCAAAATGATCGCCATCGATTGTATAATTAAGCTCGTCGCGTAGTGTATGATTTCAGTCTGTGAAACCGAAGAAACAAACAAAAAATTTGCTCGATTCCCGATTGTGACTACTGCTCACAAATCACAAACACAATTGCCCGTGTGCATGTGTGTTTACGCTGTTCACATTGTCGAAAGAACAACAACAATGGGCGAAAAAAGAGCTTCAGTCAGCGATTTTTTTTTTTGTTAACGAGCGGACACACTAATACCATCGCATGCTGAGCGCGGAGCTCTTTAAAACAGAAACTGAAAAATTACAGTAGCCGAACAGCACTCAGAACAACAACACCCAGCTGGGAATTGTGTGACAAGAGGCGAGCGCGAATTAAAGTAAATCGCAAATATAAAAAGCATCGTGTAAATCTGTGAAAAAGTGAATCCTAAATCGGGATTCTTTGTTCCAGTCGTCAAAGCAGTTGGAGGAAGTTGTGGAAAGCCTGCTTCTTGCAAGTCCACTGAGAACTGGGAAAAACAAAAGAAGAACTCAAGGCTAAACAAATCGAGGAAATCCAAATTTTAAGATATTCGCTGGACGGATATAACTTATCGGGCGAGTCAATATGGCGGCGCCTATCGCAACGTTAGCTGCTTTTGTTGTTGGCTTTACATTGGTTACATTTGTGATTTGTGGAACGGGAACGGGAGCGGGATGGATGCAACCACGCACTCCCCAACTGGAAGTGGACGCTATGCGCACCGAGTATATTGCCCTGGAACGTGCCCTGTGGGATTATCTGGCCAAAACGGCCAATAGCCAGAACAATAAGGAAACGCAGATAAGGAAGGTATACGAATCGCATCGAGACTTTGATGCGAAGCCGCTAATGAGTCGCACTTTCGAGGGGAATCGCTACGAGATCCTCAATCACTACGAATGGTCACTGCTAGAGCGGGACCTGATCTATATCAGCAAGCTGTATGATGCGTACAAGGTATTCTCTCTCGGCCCACTAAATTATTATCAAATTTCGGAAAGAATATGTTTTCACTGACTACTTGTTCTCTATATAGGATTCCATGTTCAAACAAAACAACGTCGACCAACTGGATGAACTAGCTGTTCTGAATCTCGCCCGGGAACTCTTACGAAATGATAATACAGCCTCTATGCCAAGAATCCTGCAGGAAATTGAAAGAGTGATGGTTCAACAGACCCTTTACTACCGAGCCATGATAGTTAGTGACTAGTCATTTTTAATTCAAATAATCTTTAGTACAATTTTTTGCAAATCTACAATTGCCAAATCCCAATCTTACACATCCACGCGATCCGTAATTACGGAGTTATAATAAGGGTATGCAAGCAATTTTTACAGCCAGGTGGAACGGCTAATTACAGCTAAAAACAAGAGTTATAAAAACAAATACCGATAAGCGCTTTAAATTTCACGTGCTGACCGTCAAACAATTTTCAGCTGGATATTAACTGTATTAATGTCATTCCCAATAATTATTGCTAACTTTCTTACTTGCAGGTGTCCAACAATCAGATATGCAGCACAATGCAATCGCCGCAACAGTTTGTGTATTCGCTATATGCGGATATCGCCCTCACCGAATTGAAAGCCTACACGATGATGGAATTCTCGTGGATGATGCTGCGCGTTTACGGAAAGGGAAACTACACTCAGGAAGCGGAACTGATGCGATCGGACTACGAGAAGCGCACGGAACGCACACTAAAACTGCTCAAGGATGTAATGCTCCGAGCCGATCGCATAGTTTATCGCTGCGATCCACCGAAACATATACGGGGTGTCACCTACGACGAGGTCACGCGACTCCTTCAGGGCTATATCGAGAACGAGGTCGATTTGAATAACGAGGAAACCTGCCGCGAGACGTGCGCCTTCTACCAGTCCACCCGCAGCGAGGGCTGTTTCAAGGAGCTCTACTGCGCCCGCCAACCGAGGTGTTCCGGCCGGTTGTACAACTGCCAGTTTGTCGACTCCGACATGTGGGTCTGTCCTTCGCCGCAGAACAGCACCAGGCGCTATGAGTTCATCGAGTACGAGAACGGACGGGTTCTTGGCCAGCGAGGCAAGTGCGTTAGGGGCACCACCAAGGTGGACAGCTGGTGGCGTTACCTCCTTTGGCACTGCAGCTACTGCTTCTGCCTGTGCGACGAGCAGGGCCTTAAGTCGGACCGATTCTTCAACCTGCGAGACACCATTGCCGATGTGAAGCGCAACAGGTGAGTTCTGCTTAAAAGCTCGAATTGTCTTTAAAACTTTTTGACCGGCACTTATCATTTTTCAGAGTCGTGACTGGCCTGCGTTTTGTCAAGCAAAATCGTATTTTCCACCTGCAAATCCAGGAGGGCGAGCTACTGCCACGAGGCGCCGTCAACCAGAGCACTCTGGAGTGGAAGCCCGTGGAGAAGTACAACTTCTTCGATCGCGATGTGAAAAAAGGCGTCGACTATCACATGCTGAGCTACGAAAGCCGCTCCATAGATCTGGACGATGTGAACACGGATGACAATAGCTTTGTGATCACCGGCGTGAGGTTCCGCGTTGTGGGAGCGCACTTGAATCTGGAGGCCTACTACAGCGAGTTTGACTTTAAGACGGGCCAGCTTATTCAGCCGGAGGTGAACAGCTATTGGAAATCCAACGATAACACCGATGTCAGCGGTTCACGCAGGTCGGTTTCTCTATCTAAAGATTTTTAAGAACCTGAAATTAACAAAAACCGTTTCCTTTTTTCCAGAGAAAAGCTGCGTGTGGAAAACGCCGACGTGTCCACGCGGACCATCGCCCACTCGATACCTCTGTCGCGCCACAATCAATACATTGACTTTACCAACACGGGACTGGACAAGGATGCTGCCCAGAGCACTGTGCCCTTCATTGACATCCAGGACGTAATCTCGAATCCACCTGTGCCGCTATCCGGCATTGGAATCTACTACAAGGGACGCCAAGGCTATGGCGGCTTTTTGGGACCCAAAGTCATCACCTACGACTTCACGCCCCACGTTCAGGTGCCAAAGAACAAATTCTAGAGGCGAAGGGAGTGGAGAGGCGGTGCTGTTCCATCCCGCACATATGTCATAGCTTTCTTAGTTGTACACTACCTATCAATACACAATTTCAATTACTGTCGCTTAGCATAAGTGAGGAGGTCGCTCCGCTCGAAGGAGAACGAAGCGCGCAAGGACGTAGAATTGGGCAAGACAAGAATATAACTCAAATTATATTGGAATTTAGCCATACGAAAAAAACAAAAACAATAAAGAGAATCTGAATCTGAGAAAACCGGGAAACATATATTTATCTACTTAATAATAATAATAATAAGGGGAAAAGAAGGGGACTCACCTGGACACGCAGTGGATGGATCATCAGCAGGGGCAGAAGATAAGGGCGATAGGGTAACACGTCGTTCAAACTGATTCCCATTTTGGTGACCGCCTGGCAGACAAAGGCGGCCAGATAGCGATGCAGCGGAAAGTGGAACGACGCCTGCATCATATCCTCCTAGAAAAAAAATTGATTTCAAATAGTTGGGTTAGTCTAAAAGTGTCAAGGATCATTAATTCGTAAGTCATATTATTACATTATAACACTTATTTGAAAAGGTATTAATTATTTAAATTTCGAAAAGAATACAAGATTTTTTAAAACAAGATACTGTAAAACACTCACCATCGAAAGACGCGCCTCCATGAAATAAATAGAGTCCAGCCACTCGTGCAGCGTCGTCACGCAGTAGTTGATGATCTTTTTGGCCAGATGCGCGTGGGTGCCATCCTGCAAATGCGAGATAATCGACCACATGGGATATGCACTGGCCTCCAGCTCACAGGAGAACGCAGCGTAGTAGCTGTTAGGTTCGAATTCCACATGAGATGCGGTCTCCCGCACGTTGACATTCATGCCCTGGAGCATCTGAAGGAACTGGAACCACATATCGATGAGGTTGTCGTCCCGCAGAAAAACCAATGCGACCGATTCGTGTGAGAGGACGTTGTTGAAGTCCGAGACTAGTGGCCAATAGCAGTGATCCTTCATCACCTGACGGGTGCAATCGATGACGAAGTGGAAATTTTTGCTAGGATCTGCAAGAAAAAGAAAACACCCGATTAAAAAAAGATATGAAGGATTAAAGCTTAAATCTCTCACCATGCAGCGTGTTCTGTATGAGGATCTTGGACATCATAAGCTTCAAACTGATGATCATCACGTGCAACAGCGACAACTCGTTGACCATTTTAAGGGCCAAACTTTCGTTGGAGAAGAGTTGAACGCTCATGTGGACCACTCGGTTGCTGAGTGTGTCCGGATCGCGGGACATTTCCAGCACGGACGGTATACGACTGTAGTGCATCACAAATGTGCGGGTGAGGTGTTCCTGGAATGGCAAATTGATGAATATACATATATAAATAAAGGTACGTATAACACTTTTTATGTCTAGCCAATTTACCTTGTAATCCTGATCGGGCAACATGTTGAGCAGGAAACAGACTAGCGTCTGTGGGAACTCGAACTTGAAAGTCCAGAAGATGAACTCCTCGAGCAGCGTGGTGTGCACAAGTTTGTCACCCAGCGCTGGCAGATGCCTATACTCATCAGGTGGCTCCGGATTCGGGAACCTGTTGACCGCATCCTCGTACTTCGCCCGATTCGCCTTCAAAAAGAGTCCATTGCAAGTGTCCTGGCATGATGCCTCCATGAAATAGGCATACACCTCCGGATTGATTAGAGTGCGCGTCATCACCTTGCGCATGATTTCGCCCATGTTGTTCAGATCGATCAGCATGTTGGCGAACTCCTCGCACGAGTACGAGGTCATCGCGTGCACCTGCGAGGTGTCACTGTGCTCCCGGAAGTGCTGCAGCAGGCGGAAAAGCAACTTGGGCATAATGGCCTCGGCCACCGCCAACAGATTATTGGGCACCGGATCGCGATTCACCCGGTTGTTGATGCCATGATCGCTGCAAAAGCCCTCGGCCTTCATCACCGATGTGTCGCCACAATCACAGGCACCGCCAGCCTGCGACAGGAACATATTGAAGTCGTGATTTGTGTGATTGCCCTTCTTGAAACAGTCCCGACAAATGGACATGCAGGGAGAAATGCCGCAGGTGCGGCATCTGTATGCCACCACGTGTGGCACCCAAACCAGTCCGCACTTGGCGTGGTTGTCATAACTGCGTACTGAAAAATAGCATTTTATAAGTAAAAAATTACCACTTTGTTGGTTTACAAAAAAAGAAGGTTTACAGCTCGCCAAAAATTTTTAAAAATAAGCTGCAAGGACATCTACACATCGACCGCAGTGTAAAAAAGTTACAATGTTTAACCAACTGATTCTTTCACAAGCACTTAAAAAGTCAAAACTTTTTCTTGTATTTATCTTGCCGGAGAAAAGCCTGGGCCAAATATTGATTTTTAAAACACGATACGTTATTGGAATAGAGCTAGTAGGTTAGAGACTAAAAAAAATTGATTGCAAACTCAGCTATAACAATCTAAACACAATAATTTTGACAACTTTTGTTTAACGGTGAAATTTGAAGCCACATCTAACTTGAGACTTTGAAAAAACAAATAATCGACATAATCGACCGATTGGAAGTATTTATCCACTTCTAGAATCGAAGCGATAAGTTATCGCTGTCGAAATTGCGAGATGAGGTGAATCTAGAAAACCTGTCGAGGCCAGCTGTTTTGCTTTTGGCCACCTTGCTAATGCTTGCCTTGCTTGCTGCTATTGCTATTGATTTGATTAAGTTCCAAAAATAAAATGATGCACTCATTGCTTAGTTAATTTCGCTTGTTGCGTGACTCTTTGCTTTTTTGTCTTCAAGCTGCGTTCTGGGGCGTATATAATTCCCATTTCGTTTGGACCTTGTTGGCTGAAAAGGTCAACGTTGTCAACCGCCGCATGCGGAAGGAAATCAATTGGCTATAAGAACAACAACAACAGTAACAAAAACAATATGGATAAACGCAGTGCAGAAAAGTTGATTGAAAATTTTGTAAATGGCGGTCGATCGAAAGACAAGTTGGCAACTTTCTCGCTCTGTTGACCATCCTATGCACCCATCTCTTTCTAGCTGAGAACTTTTGGACAAGGTTCACTAGATGGTGGAGCAAAGAGAAGAGGGGGAAGAGAAGTGGCATGGGAACGGAAAGAAGGCGCACCCTCCCACCCACACCCACACAAAAAAAACTTAATAACATAACGGTCTTGCGGTCAATTGCCGATGACAGTTTACAGTGGGCCACATCATACACTCTTAACCAACCCCACCGTGCGTGTTTTCGTCAAATCAACAACAATTGACGGTCAATCAACTTTTGCCGCAAGAGTGCAATTTTGCAATTGTTCTGCTTGACACTTTGTGGCAAGAGGGAAAAACAACGTAAAAGAGGAGTACTCGGCGCTGACAAAAGGTGACAGCATATAAACAACCCCAATTTCTTTTGTGTGTGTGTGTTTTTTTTTTGAAACGGATGCTGTGGAAGCATTTATTACGCAAGGCGAAACGAACAGCTGACAACGCCACAAGGTGCAAGTTGCATTCCACTGTGCGTGTGGTTGCGTATGAGTGTTGCGAGAGCTGACAAGTGGGACAAGCAAACGTTAAACGAAATCAACTTTGGCGACATACGCAGCCTGGCACAAGGAAAAAAGTTATCATAAAATTTATGCACAGATACATTATTGTAAATATGAGCAGTTGAGATTAAATTGGGGTAAAGTTGACTCCCCTAATCAGTATGTTCCGTGTGTGTGTGCGAGTGAGTACGCTTGATTGCTGTTGCCATGGTGGAGCACTCACACCCGCTCTTGCACTATTCACGCTGCCTTGCACCTTGCTGTTATGCTCTCTCTCCCTTTTCCTTGCGTGCCCTACAAGCATTACAAACGCACACATATACTTCACACAGGTATATCACACATACACACTCACAACATTAACAGTGTTTCAGGGGCAACGGACTTGTGATCAGCTGTTTTTGCGATAGAAAATGCAACACATATTATTTATCGATAGGCGGACGTACCAATTTTAACAAATTCCTGCGGCGTCCGTCCGCCGGCAATGAGCCATCGTATCCACTCGATGTTGTCCAGATTATCGATGGGTGTACCCGGATTAAACAGGGTGTCCATTATGGAGTCAAGATCGGGCGTTGGGCCTCCTCGGCAGCATTCGGTGTTGATCAAGGCGGCCACTTCCTTGCGACTGCGCAAGCTGAAGGACGAGGCTCCAAAAAGAAGCTCGGCTTGGCGCCGGCGTCCTCAAAGGTTGTTCCTGATCCAGAGCCAGATCCTGAACCAGATGCCGCCGCAGTTCCTCCTCGTGGCGGCGGTGGCGGCGGAGCAGCGGCCGCCACACTGGAGTCCCAGTCGTGAAAGGGGGAATGCGAGTTTTCAGTGGTGGTGGCAGCCGCGCTGATGGCGCCTCCAGTCCCTGCTCCTCCACTGGCGCGCACTGCAGTATTTGCCAGAGAAGGATCTGCTGCATCGCCAACAGACGAAGAGACTAGGGCGGACAGGGCGTACACTGATGATAAATCTACATCGGAGGACTCATCTTCGTCCTCCTGCTCCATGGCCTCGCGAGCCGCGCGACCCACTGCCGCCTCCTCGTCATCAATGCTGATATCGGCATTAGACAGGTTGTCATCCTCGTCCATAGTGATGCGTTTTATATATTTGATGACGTCGCCGATCCGGTGCTCCTAGCACGCTAAAATTCTCGAGTTCCAAACTCCGATCTGACAGCTCTTTTTCTTCGGCCTTTTTTTCAAACAAGTTTTCTTTTTCTTTTTGGCTGCTTCGACCGCTTCTTCTTCACTGCGTGATTTTTTGTTGTTTGGCTGCTGGCCGAATTTAAATTTTTTTTTTTTTTGTTTATGGCGAAGTTGCGTTTAATTGAAAATTTGGAAAGGGTGGAGGTAAGGGGATTGCTATTGAGGGGGCGGGATTTTACGCTGAACGGAGTGGTGGAGACGGAAAATTTCACAACACCACAACACTTGACTCAGTGGAGCCGCTTCGACATCTCAACTCCGTTCCGTTCCTGCTTTTTTGCTTTTTGACGGCGCCCGACCGACCTACTGTGATTCAGGGGCTTGTATAAATTATATCCCGGGCATTTGTATCCGGATCGGGATCTATTTGTCTTTGGCTGGGCAACGATGCCCTTTTCCCCCGATATTTTGCTCACTTTTCACGCTGTTTCATCCGCGAGTCTTGCAAATATACGAGATACGCACACACCAACAAACACACAGACACACCGATACGACCGACACACACAGTGGCAAGTGTGGCCAAATATATTAGTCGTGCATTGAACTTGCCAATTACGGTGATTTTTGCATATCAGTCGCAGACTAAGGAACCTTTTAACCAGCTAGTCAGTGCCTCTAATGCGTGGGCGGCCCTTTAGCCGCTGCCTGTGCGTTCACGAATGCTTTTAGTCCTGCCAAATTCGATTTGCTCCACGAATCCACACACGGTTCGTTTGCGTGTATGTGTATATGAATTTTATCCAGTGTGACCGCGATGGGACAGACTGAAATACACTAAACTGGTCTATCGCCTATCGATAGCCACCTCGAGCGTTGCCACTGGGCCAAAAACACAACTTACAGAGAGGGCAGCCCCAAAACAAGCGGTTTTCAATGCACTTCCAATTTTATTTCAGCTGTATTTTTAATTGTATAAAAGGTTAACACAGCGTCAATACAAATAGCGCGCATCCCTACAGACGACGACCACGGCGACCGCCCTTCCTGCGGGTGGAGTCCGATGGGATGGGAGTCACGTCTTCGATGCGGCCAATCTTCATCGAAGAACGGGCCAAGGCGCGCAGAGCAGACTGGGCACCGGGTCCAGGGGTCTTGGTCTTGTTGCCTCCGGTGGCACGCAGCTTGATGTGCAGAGCAGTGATGCCCAAGGTCTTGCACTTCTCCGCCACATCCTAATGGGGTTTACAACAGTTAGACGTGACTTTTGAAGTTTTATTCAGGGCATCTTACCTGGGCGGCCAACATAGCGGCGTAGGGCGAAGCCTCATCACGATCGGCCTTCACCTTCATACCTCCGGTGACACGGGCGATGGTCTCACGGCCGGACAAATCCGTAACGTGCACGAAAGTGTCGTTAAAGCTGGCGTAGATGTGAGCCACTCCGAAGACGACCTCTCCATCGCGAACTTGAGGTCCAAGCTGAACCTGCACCTCCTCCTTCTGAACTTTAGCTTTCCTGGGAGCCATTCTGCAGCGTTTGGTCGTCGATCAGCAACTAAAAATTACAGAAAAAAACACTTTAATTGCCGGCTTAAGTCACTCACAAAAACAACAAAAAACAGAAACAAAAATTAATTCGTCTGCATCCACTCCGGGCCAGCGAATTTTCGTGATTTAAATTTATTCGTTTCATAGAGATATATTTGCACAAGCTGTCACATCATTTCTTTTTTGCTGCCAAATTCGTAAATGGCAATAAAAACATAAAAAGAGGGAGAATAAATTCGCAGACGAACCAATTGCGTGAACCGGATACGAAAAAAGAAAGCAGAAACAAAACAGCTGATAAGGCGATAGTTATCGGTTGCAGGGCTGCTTTTTGGGCGCGATCGGGCTGCCACTGTGTCATTTGCCCGCAAGTAATGGCAACCCTGAAATCTGCCAATTCTTGTAAACATTTCAGAAAAAACCTTATTAACCAATTTTTTCCGTAACCTGTTGCCGAAACAGGCCAAATAACATGCACAGACTGTTTCAATCAATTATATAATATATTCCTGGTTTATTACAGTGCACCTATGTACACAAACAGAATCAATTTCATGCCATTATACGCAAATGCTGTATTTTGACCAACAGCAGGGACTCCTGCTCTCCAGATTCAGACATTTACAGACGACGACCACGGCGACCGCCCTTCCTGCGGGTGGAGTCCGATGGGATGGGAGTCACGTCTTCGATGCGGCCAATCTTCATTGAAGAACGGGCCAGGGCTCGCAGAGCAGACTGGGCACCGGGTCCAGGGGTCTTGGTCTTGTTGCCACCGGTGGCACGCAGCTTGATGTGCAGAGCAGTAATGCCCAGGGTCTTGCACTTCTCAGCTACATCCTGGATGGAGATTTAAAACCAGTTAGCTCAGCACTCGCTGCACACCACTATCTACAAACTCACTTGAGCAGCCAACATAGCGGCGTAGGGCGAAGCCTCATCGCGATCGGCCTTGACCTTCATGCCTCCGGTAACACGGGCAATTGTTTCACGGCCGGACAGATCCGTAACATGCACGAAAGTGTCGTTGAAGCTGGCGTAAATGTGGGCCACTCCGAAAACAACCTCTCCGTCGCGAACTTGGGGTCCGAGCTGAACCTGCACTTCCTCCTTTTGGACTTTAGCTTTCCTGGGTGCCATTTTGGGGGTATTTTCGTTGATCAGCAACTGCGGGGAATACCAAGGGAATGCACATTTTAAACCAACACTGGCGTTTCACAAACAAAAACAAATGCGTGCGCACAAACAAAACAAAAAATGTAAAAAAATTGAAGTTGCCGGGAAGCTTTTTAATTGTTTTGCATCGCCCCATGAGCCCGCTTGAGGGTGGAACATTTTTGGAGTTTCAAAGGACTCAAAGTCGGGCTTTTAGTTAAAAATTTAAGGGGCAAAAGATTGGGACGAACCACTTGCGTGAACCGGATGTCAAAAAAGAAGGCTGTCGTAGCTGTCAAAATGACAGGGTTACTGCATTTCTTAAAAATACTCGATAAATAATCGATAAGATATCGGGTGGCCTTTCCATCACTAAGAAGTTTTTGAATTGAAATGCACGTTGTATGTGAATTTACCCAACTGTTTTACAGTTTTTGATTGATAAAGCTCCTTATATCGCAAATTTTTAGGGGCGTCGGGCGCCGCGTCCAGCTAAACCACGTCAGCGAAGTAAAATGGCCATAAAAGCGCTTCGAGGAATTTTTTAGGTCATTTTAATTGAACGGGTTCAAGTCTTGGATAAATTTAAAGCCCGCTCTTACATAGCGGTTTGAGTCTGGGATACTTATCGATAGTATCGCCTTAGTACGAGATTATGCGTTTGGGATTTTTTAGTACTTCTTTTTTCTATATAAGTAGACATGGCCAGTGCATCAGTGTTGTGAAACTATCGATAGTTGTGCATTCGATGACACCTCTAATCACAAGACACCAAAAAAAAAAGCAAAAACATAATAAATACAAGCAATCTACCGCCGAATTGCAGTTATATATAATATAAGTATATAACTACATAATGTCGTGGGTTTCCGACTACAAGTACACCTGGGTGGAGCGGCTCGCCATGAGGACGCTGCGCACCTGTGGCTATATTCCGCACCACGTCGCCTTCGTGATGGACGGCAATCGGCGGTTTGCCCGCTCCCAGCAAATTGATAAGATCGAGGGCCACTCGCGCGGATTCGAGAAGTTGGCGGATTGCTTGCGCTGGTGCCTGGACATCGGAGTCCGCGAGGTTACCACCTTTGCCTTCAGTATTGAGAACTTTAAGCGGTCTAATGAGGAGGTCGAGGGTCTGTTCAATTTAGCCAGGGAGAAGTTTGCACGTCTGCTCGAGGAGACGGCACGGCTAAACGAACATGGAATTCGCATCCGGATCATTGGGAACATCGAACTACTGCCCCTGGATCTGCAACGATTGGTCGCCTCGGCCATGTTGAGTACGGAGCGCAATGACAAGCTCTTTCTTAACGTGGCCTTTGCCTACACGTCTCGAGATGAAATTACGCAGGCGGTGGAGACGGTTCTGCGGCACGGAAGCCAGGATCTGGCCGCCGAAGACATCAGCGAACGGCTGCTGGAGGAATGCCTCTACACGCGACACTCACCGCCACCGGATCTAGTGTTTCGCACCTCCGGCGAGACCCGGCTAAGCGACTTTATGATGTGGCAGGTGAAAAATTGATTTTTAATTAACTAATTCAAACAGGATGAAATATTTATTATTTGTCTCATATATTCAGCTAAGCACCTCTGTACTGTACTTCAGCAATGTATTGTGGCCGCAGATAACCTTTTGGCACTTCTTGGCCAGCATTTTGGCGTACCAGCGTGATCGCTGGCAACTGGAAGACTTCCGGCGCGCGGAGCGAATGCAAAGCTTTCAGTTAGCCAAAGCAAGCGACTTTTATAGCGAGCGGGTGCAAAAGTTCCTGGCCACCATTGACGAAGACCGGCGCAAACTGCTCGTGCGACTGGCTTCCAATTGACTGCCTTAAATCCCTCCGTTTTCTTCATGTAGATGTTTGTGATACGAGTGGAAAATAAAACCGTGTAAATACCATATATGTTACGTTCAGCTGCGATGAACATGCAGCCTAACTCACAAGGATTTCACATTTAAACATGTGTTCCGTGCGAGATTTCGTCATTCAAATGCACTTGTTTAAGACGTTCAACTGACTTGCGCCCGAAATGTGCGCTTACTCAGAATTTTTGCAATGTTAAGTTTTAAATAAGTAACCATAAGTTATTTGCCTTCTTAAATTATGAAAATTAATGACGGATTGTTTAAATTTTAAGGGAGTACTTGCGGTTTCTTTTTATTTTTGAAAACATATAAGTTTTCTTTTTTGTTTTACAATTAAAGCCATATCAAACATTGAATTATCGCTATTTTGTTTCAATTTCATAATAAAAAATAATACATTTCTAATATTCTGTGAAGATTTACATATTTATTTTCAAGAAATTCCAAGTTTTCGATGATTTTAAAAATTGTTGCATCCCATTAACTTTTAAAGCTTGTATCCAATTTTAAAAGGTTCCTTCCATGTCAGAATTTTTAAAGTTTATAATGGTCTTTAAAATTGTGACCCAGCACTGCACCTTAATGACCCACACAATTTGTATTTCATTTTTAAGTGGCTTACCGTTCGTGGTTGAATTACTTAAAAGTCTGGATTTCACATTTTTAATTTAACAAAGTTCGATTTGTTGAACCCATTTCCGTGTCATGTTTTAAGGTTTCTAATTGGTTGCAAAAAGATTACCCAAATCTTCATAATCATAGTCCAAATGGTTTTTAGCCAGTTTTAATGAAACATTTCTAATTTCATTAACGAAATAAATTAAATAAAATATTTAAATGATTAAAGCAATTTAAAAATTATCGATAGTAAACATATCGATATTGCTAAGTCAGTAAAAGAAATCGATAGTATCTAATTAACATCAATTTTTGTTTCAGCTCTAGTTCACAACTCAACTTGCTGCAAACGCGTTTTTTTTTGTTGTAAAAATCTAAAATACAAGAATTAGGATTAGTTAACTCGCTCCTAGTGTTTAACCAAGTACACCTTTAGTTAGCTTTACGGTTAGTTTCCCGTGGCGAAGGCGGCGACATTGGCAGCAAATTGCATATAATAATTACCTCTCGGCAACCGCAGTTGAGCAAAGTAAAAGAAAAGAAGAGAAGTTTGCAAGAGGCGTGTGAGCGTGACGAAAAGAGCGAGAGAGCAGAAAGGGATTTGAACAGGACAAGAGGAAATAGCAACGGATCGAAACAGAGCAGGGAAAAATCGAAGAGGCTTCGAAAACCCACAAAACCTCCAAAACCCGACTGGCTGGGGACCAAATGTCAAATTGCGGCGCATAAATACATAAATTGAAGCCCCCCGCACAAGTCAGGCTCATCCAAAATTACACATACACTCACACACAAGGCAGCAGTTGTCGCAACAGGAAAAAAGGTGAGTGTATCGCGTGAAAATGCAATGCATTTTTTTTTTACGAATTAATTTGTGTGCGCGCTGTGCTCTTCTCCGGTAAACTCTGCTTGTCCCTCTCTCTCGTGTGCTTGCGCTCTCCCTCGCCCGTATCTCGTGTGCATTGGCGATGCTGTATTGATTTTTTCGGTGGTGGATAGTGGGTGGGCAATGGAACCGCCCCCCTCTCTCTGCTCATCCCGTTTCTCCAAAGCAACCCCCTGCCCCATTATTCAAAAGCATTTCTCTATTTTTATCAAACAAAAACACTTTATAACTAGGTTGAAAACCGTGCCGATCGCAACTGCAACATCAAAAATGTTGTGGTATCAAGTTTTGTAAAAATAAGTTATTGTTTTTGTGTATGAAAAAATATTTTATGAAAACTTGCAATACGGCCCTTTATAAAAAATATAATATTTTAGTGAGAACGAGTACAATTTTCATACCTAATTTTTGTAAAATGGGTTGCCTAAAAATTGCTAACGATAATTCTTGCAGCGTTTCGTATAATAACATCAATTGCATCTTTAAACATCAATGTTACTAAATAACTCTTGATCGGTATATATATTTTTTTTCGATCGTACCATCATTACCAATTTAATTCAAATTCGGTGTTTTTCGTCACTATGTCGCCAAAGCGCTAAACAGTTACAAAAGTGCAAAGTCTTTGCATGTATTTGTGTTTGCTTTAGCGAGGTGTTTTCCGTTTGACTTCGCTGATCTTTTGTTCATTTCTCGGCAGAATTTATTGGACGATGTACGCCGGAGCATATGCACCCAACGCCGGCGGCGTTCAACAACACACGGGCGGCGGTTACTATGGAAATGGTGCCGCAGCAGCTGCTGGAGGAGGCGGTAACGGTGCCCCCCGACACGACCGTCCCTATTATCCGCGCAGTAATTTTGCCGGCGCCGCCGGTGGAGCGGCACTTAATGGAGCAGCTGGTGCCGCTGGCGGCATGCACTTCGGCCAGCCGTACGGCGTGATGGCCTACGGCATTCAGAATGGCCTGGGAATTCGCGCTGCTGGCGCCGGTGGCGGTAATCCTTATCGCCAGCAAAACGGTGTCGCCTTTGCCGGAAACGGGCTTGGAGGAGCCCCTGGTGGAGGTGTTGGTGGAGCAGCTGGTCAAGGAGGTGCCGGCGGCAATGGCGGTGGCTATGGCGGACCGCGTGGAAAGAATCCCAATTACGCACAGCGCTACCAAAAGCCGCATAACGGCGGCGGTGGTGGATATCAGAGCAATAACTACAACGCAGCCGCTTTGGGCATGCTGTCCAAGGAGGAGCGAGCCGAAATCCAACGCGAGAAGGCCAAGAACCCTGGTCGCAATCTGGTCAAGCCTATGTGGGAGAACCTGGAGCCATTCCACAAGGATTTCTACAACATCCATCCGAATACGCTGGCCAAAACCGAGCAGCAGGTGGCCGAAATACGTCGCGAACTGGAGATTACCGTATCGGGCAACGAACTGCCGCATCCGGTGGTCAGTTTTGAGGAGAGCTCGCTGCCCGCCCACGTCATTGAGGAGATGAAGCGCCAAGGGTTCACCAAGCCCACGGCCATCCAGTCACAGGGTTGGCCCATCGCTCTAAGTGGCCGCGATCTGGTGGGCATTGCCCAGACCGGTTCCGGAAAGACACTGGCCTACATGCTGCCGGCTATTGTGCACATCGGCAACCAGCCGCCAATTCTGCGCGGCGAAGGACCCATCGCTTTGGTGCTGGCACCCACGCGCGAGTTGGCCCAGCAGATCCAGTCGGTCGTGCGCGACTATGGCCATTTGTGCAAGCCCGAGATTCGTCACACTTGCATCTTTGGTGGGTCATCAAAGGTGCCGCAGGCACGTGATCTTGACCGCGGCGTTGAGGTGATCATTGCCACACCGGGAAGATTGATTGATTTCCTCGAGAACCGCAACACAAACCTACAGAGGTGCACCTACCTTGTCCTGGACGAGGCCGATCGTATGTTAGACATGGGCTTCGAGCCGCAGATCCGCAAGATCATCGAACAAATTCGCCCCGACCGACAGGTGGTCATGTGGTCAGCGACCTGGCCCAAGGAAGTGCAGGCCCTCGCCGGTGACTTCCTCAACGATTACATCCAAATTAACATCGGCTCGATGAGCCTCTCTGCCAACCACAACATCCGCCAGATCGTCGAGATCTGCACTGAGATGGAGAAGCCGCAGCGTTTGGTACGCCTACTCAAAGAGATAACTCCGACCAACAATTCGGCCAACAACGGCAACAAGATTATAATCTTTGTGGAGACCAAGATAAAGGTGAGTTTTCCAAAATGAAGAATAATCACAAAATTATTAAAACTGTTTGATACTCTGTTATGCCTATACTCTGTTCTTAATGTTTTAAGTTTGTGTGATAACAGTTACCTCTATTCCAAAGAATGTTTCTTTTCAAGTATCATTTCTTTATACCGTTATTCGTGATGCATTTCTAGATATCATTACGTTTATTTCGCGGAATTTCCTTTGTTTTAAATGTTTACATGAAAGCAAGAACTGGTTTATACCTGTAAGCATTAAATATAAAATTGCGAACGGCCAATTTTTCTGAAAACAAATTTTGTTTGTGTCACCCCCTCTTTCAGGTGGAGGACATCTTACAGATCATCCGTACCGAAGGCTACACCGCCACCTCTATTCACGGTGACAAGACCCAGAACGAGCGTGATTCCGTGCTGAAGGATTTCCGTAATGGCAAGTCTAACATTTTGATTGCCACCGATGTGGCCTCACGTGGTCTTGATGTGGAGGATCTGCAGTACGTGATCAACTATGATTACCCTAACTCCTCGGAGAACTATGTGCACCGCATCGGACGCACTAGACGCTGCCAGCAGCTGGGCACTGCCTACACATTCTTCACACCCGACAATGCCAAGCAGGCGCGGGAGCTGATCTCCGTGCTCGAGGAGGCCGGCCAGACGCCCTCGCAGGCTCTTTTGGATTTGGCCCGTTCGATGCCCAGTTCGGGCGGCTATCGCGGCAACAAGCGCTGGAACAACAATGGTGGCGGTGACCGCAACTCTGGCGGTCACAACGGCGTCTATCAGCAGCGCAACAACAACCCACTGAACTACCAAGCGGGCAACAGCTACAACAACAACCGTGGTGGTCCACCAACTGGCGGTGGTGGTGGTGGCTATCAGCAGTATGCCGCTGGCGGCAATACCTATCAGCAGAATGGAGGCGGTAACGGAGGCGGTGGCAACTGGAACCGCATGAACCAAATGGGACAGGATAACGGCAGCGGCGGGCAACAGCAGCGAAATGGCAACACCTACCGGCCGAGGGCGCCATTCAACAATGGAGGACCACGTGCCATAATGGGTCACCAGGGAGGCGGCGGTGCTGGCGGACTGGGCGGAGCCGGAGGCGTGAGCGGTGGCCCCCAGCCGCATATGGCACCCCAGCAGGGCGGCCAATACATGCCGCAGGCGTATCGCAGTCGTGGACAGTTTGTGCCTCAGGGAGCTGGAGCTGGTGGCATGCCGCCGCGTTTCCAGCAGTATCCCAAGCGAGAGTACCAGCAGCAAGGAGTCCCGCACTACGGTCAGCAGCAGCAACAACAACAGCAGCAGCAGCAGGTACAGCAGGCTGGCCAACAGCCCAAGCCGCCGAAGGATGATGGCAACAAGTATGCCCAAGCGCCGCCACCGGCTGCGGTAACCACTTCGCTGGTGCATTACACGCCGGCCAACTCGCCGCCGATTGCGGCCGTTGCTGCTGCCGCTGCCGCAGCGGCCGGAAGGGCAGCCGCAGTTGCCCCGGCACCAGGAGCCGCTTACATGTACGATGCAGCTGGAGTTTTGACCACGGCCGCGGCGCCCGGTACCAATCCATATGCCAATCAGTTCAGCATGCCGGCCACCTACTATGCGGCCCAGCATCATCAGTTTGCCCCGGCAGTGGCTGGTCCTGGACCAGGACCTGGCCAGGCCATCGAGCAGGCAGGACATCAATAAGGGGACTTGCGGGAATAGCAGGAAGGTGGATCGTGGATTGTGGATCGTGGAGAGCTAAAAACAACAAAACCAACAACAGCTTTAGCAACAACAAAAACAACACCAATGACGTGGACAAACCAACAAACAACAACAACAAAAACAGCAGTTAACAAACAAAATCAGTCATGAAGAAATCCAAGTGCATATGAGACGGGACAGGAAGAAGGAATATTAATTTGCCAACATAAAAGAGCACAGTTAATCTTTAAATTCGAAGCGAAAAAACTTGCCCAATTGTTTTTTATTTTTCTCACCCACTACTACCACTATTAGCATCTTTTGTGTCCTCCTCTTTCGCTCGTTCAAGCTGGCTCAGTTTGTGTCTGCGATCGAATTTGACCTCTAAACAACCCCTCCGACTTTTCATTTGTTACTGTTCTTTGGGCAAACTTTGTATAAACAGTACCAAAAATTAATAACCAGGCGTGAGTTTAAATTAAATATTTCAAAAGTTTGTAATTTATAATGAAATCATTTTTGCTTACAGGCACTGGAAATATCACCGAAATCGAAACCCTTTGTTTTCCAAAAAGGTAAAACCCAACAAAAACAAGTGAACGCCTCGAAAGTGAGAAATTATTGTAGTTTTTAAGCTTTTCCACCTACACTGACAGCATGTTCTTCGAATGTTTAAAAAGAAATAGGTAGGGCTATTATCATTTCTTTTCCGCCAGGCAAAAACAAGCAAAATTAAAACTAGACACAAACAGACACTGTTAGTTAAGTGATATATATATATATTCATGTGTATTAATTTTTACACGAAGCTAAAAACACAAGAAAACACAAGCACGCAACCAAAAAAAATTTCATTTGAATTCGAAAATTGTCAAACACAAAAAAAGGGATGGTAAAAACTCTTATAACTAACTTGGTTGGAATGAAATGAACGGTTTGCTTATAATAACTCATATTTCAATATGTTTAATTATTTTATATACATATATATTCATGCGAAATTTGCAACAAACAATTACAACAAAGGAAAAACTGACCAAATTCAACACAAATTCCATTTATAAAAACGCAGCCAACGATTGAAATATATAATACACCAAGATGTTGGCCTAATCCAAAATAGCATAGAAAGGGAATGGGCAGCGCTGCTTTGGTAGGAAGTATGTTGATTTAAAACTAACGAAAAACAATCGATAATATAAACAATTTAAGCAATGGGAGGACACTCACACAGCCACATAGAACCCACACAAGCACATGGCACACACAACCACACCTACACACGAACACTATAAGGACAAGCAAATTTACAATTATTATTTAATTTCCCATTTTGATACATATATGTGTGTGTACTCTATATATATGTATGTATATGTATATGTAGATTCGAGCTTGATTTTTAATGGAGATTAAAACAAAAAGTTATTTTGTTTAAGACACTATGTAATTCGATAAGAATCCCCCTAACACAACATTCGCAAAATTAACGAGATTTTTTCAAAAGTTCTATGCAAATACTTGAAAATAAAATACAATTACATTTTTCAATTATTCCAAGACCAAAGAACAGAAGCAGTTGAAAAAGAAGAAAGCGAAGAAAGAAAAGACGCCACATTCATCCATAAAAACAAGAAAAGCGAACACGAAACAAGAGGAATAGAAGGAGGAACACAAAACAAGGGTAGAAGATCGAATAATGCCAAGCAATGCCACACGAAAATAATGATAATAATAATACAGCAAACATAATGCATACTTCTGACTATTCCAAAATGCTATTTTCCGTTTCCACAAATGTTTATTTTTTGTTTTGTATTTTTCTTTTTTGTGATTGCCCGATTAATTTCCTCTTCCGAATACTTTTGGCCAGAGTTCAGTACGAGTTAAATAGGTAGTAGTTATCTTAATTGGCAGCTCCAGTTATATAGTTAGCAGTAATATATCCAAATATCGTCTGTCCAAGCAGTTGTCCATGTTGTTGCAAGCAGTACGTTGTCCTTCGCCATGGGAAAGCAGTACAAAGAATTTTGGAAAACGTAACGGACACAAGGGAATATTCTACAGAAAAAAAGTGTGAGAATACAAAACAAATAGATGAAAATCATGTAGATTATATTATATATATATTTGTTAGCCGATCAAGGGGAGTGAAAGGAACGTTTCTAATAACTTGTTTTTAATTAGTTTTCTACGTGAACGGTTTCCTTTTTAGCAAATAAATCAATCTGGGAAAAATAGAGGGAATATTTATATATGGTATATCGTCAACACAAGGATCTCTTTTTGAAGTAAAGGGGCAAGACTTTTTCATAGACCTATAATTCATAAAGAGGAAAGTCAATATTTAGCTCATTTCATATTTGGATTTTTCTTTTGGGGGTTTTAATTTCCTTTCATACATTTTGAAAATCATTGGAGACGGGAACGGGAACTATATCTGAATATTATTTTTTGTATGTACTCTAGGCGTATACGCAATGTTACCAAGTGAATTAAATGTTTAATTTTTATAGTTTCCTACTTTTTAATTATGATTTCGATGCAACCGAATTGTGATGATGTGATAGACTTATATAAACAAACGAAAATACAAAAATACTAATTAATAACCAATTTAAATGAAGTAAACGCAGCGCCCCCAAAAAGGCCAGGCCAAATAAACTGAAGCAGAGCCAGCTGAAAACTGAAGCTGAATCGATATCAGTATCTGAATCAGAAGATAAATATGAATATATGTTATGTATTTGTATTATTGTCATTGTCGTTGTCGCTTATAGACAATGTCTGATGGCTACAATATAATGTATTATGGATGACTTGAGGCATACATTCTTTTTTTGAAGAAATAAAACTATAGAGCGCGATATTTGTATTGTATTTATCTATAAGTTGTTGTGTACACACTGCGAGAAACAAACAAACCAAACAACAAACTAAAAAAAGCAAAAAAAAAAACACGGAAACACACAAAATCAAAACAAAACAAAAACGAGAAAAAAAAAGAGCAAAAGAAGTTGAAACTGATAAAATTTAAGAGTAACTGAAACCGAAAGCTTCAACTAAAGGAGGGGGACGCGGAGAATTCGTAGTTCCCTTCACTCTTTTGAGGCAAGTCCTTCGTTTATGTCCTAATCGATCGCTCTATCTCTGTCTCTCTATCTCTCAGCCCCTCCCCCTATACGATATATTTCTCGCTCGCAGTCTCTTCTTAAAACGATAGATTTAAAACGATAGAAATTCGCATATACATATATTTTTGAAAGTATAGAATTGCAACTTTTGAAAAAATGCAACCAAAAAATAAAGAAAGACTAAAGCCAAAAACAAAATGAATTCAATTGTTTGAAGCAAGAACAAGAGAATAACGGAGAAATGAAACAAAGTGCCGTTATTTCGATAGTTTGTAAAGCTGTTTAATTTATTTTTTGTCTATTTCGTTTACTTAGAGAACTGAAAATCGTTTACACAAACAACCCACACACTACACACGAGTTTTTGGTATACATAGTTTTTTTTTTGCGTTTGTTTTACTTTTTATTTGTTTCGTTTTAAGCATTTCGTTGGTTAACTAAAATACATATATGACATACGTGTATATATGTCGTAGGCGATAAAGTCAATGCATTTACCGTTACGGTGCGACACGCACAAGTGCCAAAAATGCAGAAACACCCGGCACATCCACGCACTCTTTCACACACACACAACACCCCACACTGACAACAGTAACACACACAAATTTCTTATAGATAATACAAACACAAACAAACATATTGCATATTTACAGTGGGCAAAAAGGGTTTTAGTGCGCTTTGACTTAATGCCCATTGTTTATGCGAGACCTACAGAACAAGCATACTTTTAAGCGCCAAAGTTAGGAGCGGCTTTTGAGGGTTCTTAATAAAAATTACAAAAATATGAAACCATTAAACAGACTTGTTGGGCAAAAAGATTTAGCAGAAGCAGCCAGATCGTAAGTTATAAGCTAAATTTGCCTTTGGCAGAAGGAACTAACCTAAAAGTAATAAAATGTTTTAACCAAAACCCATTGTGATAACAGCTGCGTAAACGAAACACATTATAATCTTTTTTGTATTTCGATTGCAATTCGATAAAAACGGGGATATCCCACTAAGTCCTTAATAAAATAAATTCAATCAAAAGAAAGCAAGCCAACAATTTATCCAAACTAGTTTTAAAACGAATACAAAACTCACCCAGCCGCACATACACGTATTTTATTAATTTGAAAAGAAAACTTCTCTTGATTTTCATTTGTTGTGTTGATCAATGCAAATTTTAGCGAAAACAAACAGAGAAAAACCAGAAGAATCAACTGCAAATTCTTAGCCATTTCGAAGGAGCGTGCATTTAGATCACATTACATCAAATATATACACTTGCATATATTTAAAGAAAAACATTTAAATAAATTCTAAATATTACCATAGATTACTTACACAAAATGCAACTGAAGAATCAGACGATTTATATGCATACAAGATAATGCAACCTAATAAACGAGGAGCCAAGCAAACGCGTTTGAATAAATGTTTGCAGCTTAAGCTAAGTTAGCACACACAATATTATATTAATTATAAACGATATAGATATGCAATAAAATGCATATATTTATAATGCACCGCCCCCTCTATTTATCCGTCGTAAAAGAAAAGAAAACCTAGACGGAAGAGGGGCTGAAACTAACGAAGAAAATAAAATGTAATCAATTTACCTATCTTATACTAGGTTATACGAACCCATAAAAATAATCCTGTACCCATCTAGAAAAGGGACAATTATTCTTCCCCGCCCATCGCCCCAAATCCCAAATGTTAAACACGTAAAAACGCATAATTATGAAATATGTAATGGAAATATTTACAAAAAAGCGAAATATCTTCTATGTAACAAATAAACGCCAACAAAAATCACTTTTAAACCACTAGTTTTTTTTCATTATTTTGGGTGTTTTTAGTTTTATCAAATTTCAAGATTACTTGAGACCTGATGGCAGTGGTACGTATATAAAATAAAAAGATATACTGAAATAAAATAAGCTTTCAAATCAAACTTTTGCCCTACCCCATTTATTGTAGATAGCAAAAACACGTTAAATTATAATCACATTTCCCATAATACTTCTTTATTGTAACGCCCAACCGTTCCGACTGCCAGTTGCCCAGATCGAAAGTACGACGGCACTTGAATGTGTCCTGCCTTCCGACTTTATAGATCTGCCGGCCAAAGAGACCCAACATAGCCCACAACATCAACTGGTAGCAAAAATTCGATCTTGGACCTTCAGAACGGATAAGAGAATATTATGGTAAACACAGAACACAGCTGGAGCACATGGGTTTAGATCATAATTTGTATTGATATTAATTAATATCCAGACATCCAAAGCGTAGACATATACAGACAGGACCTGTAGATCCACAGTCGAGTAACATTGGGTTAGCGGGCTTACTATAACTGGCAACTGGCCTTCCTATTCATACAGTATATCATATAGTATATAAAATTAACTAATTCATTTATAAAAAGCAATCATTAAACTCCAAGTCACGCCGCTCCCTAGCAGTTTTTTCCCATTTTTTTTTTGTTTTGTTGGTGTTATCCTTTGTGTGGTCTTTGATTTGCATTATCTGGTGTTTCCTGTTTGCTTGAAAGGATCAGGTGTGCAGTGTTTTGGGAATGAGATTTGGTGAGGTCGCGCCTAAGTGAAGCTGCAGCAGGAGTTAGTCTTTTTCGCCGTCTTGTAGAAGGCTTTACTCTGCATCGACAACTTCTCCGACTTGCTGACCATGTCGTCCAGTTTCTCGCCTCGCTCCAGCACCGCTTCGATGGTATTCTTCAGTATGATCTTCGTCTCGTCGAGGTCATTTTGCATTTTCGTTAGCGGATCAGCCTCTACAGGATTTTGATAGCGTGCCAGAAACGCTGGTAGCAAATCAAACGAGATGGTTGCCTCTGTGCCATTGGGCCACTGATCCGCTGACACTTTGGCCGTAAAGTCGTCGAGGATCTTTGTGATGAGTGTGTGCGCCACGCGATGAGGATACTCGTGATCGGCGATCAGGACACCGGCCAAGTTATCCGCCCGCACATAGACATGGCACATGTAGGCATCCTGTTTGACCGATTGCCGCAATGCCGGCTGTGTGCGCTCCACAATTGTCTTGGAGGCGAATCTAGAAAAGGGGGAGGGCAAAACGGAAACGATGAGTCTATGAGCCTGCGCCGTCGTGTGGCATGCATACTCACGTCATAAACTCGTTGACAGTGCCACGTTGGAAAAAGGAGAAGGACTGCAGGTCGGCAGCTGTCTTTAATAGACGCGCCTCGCTGGCGCCCTTGTGAAAGATGCTCAACGCGAAGAGCTTGACCATTTTTATTGTTGTTTTATTGGGGCCTGCGTAGATCCGAAATCTGCGGGTTGAAAAACTCCAGAAAGTGGTGTACTCGAATCCTTGGTGCACTGCCTCCTTGATGCAGGGTTATTCTGGCGTATTCTGAGTGGCTCCGGCGGGTGGATTTCAGTTAAGGCGCATTCGCAGCCTTGGAAAAGTGCGACAAGTGAGTTTGTTTAACGCAGTAAATCTGTGCCGTTCCTTGTTTGTGTGTATGTGTGTGGTGTGTCAGCTTATTGGCGATGGTAGGGGCAGCATTCAGTGACGGCACTCAAATACATGATTATCGATAGCTGAATGTTGAATAATTAGCCTGTGTTTAAACTAAACTAATTATTATATTTTATTTCCAAACATATATATTTAAAGACTTCACCAATTTTAATAAAATTAATTTGTAATTATTTAATTTAATTTTCTATCTGGCAACACTCTAGAAAGGGGGGGGCATTCGAGTTTCGAACCGATGTCTTCCTAAGTGGATGAACATACTTTAACAATGCGAACTTGGGGAAAAACGGGATTTTTTAGTACGATCTTGCGGCTGGTCTCCCCATTTGGGGGGAAAGCCATTTCACCATCAGGTAACACTGAATCCAGGCACACTGCGCTAATTGTACTGAATTTAAGTGCAACTTTTTCGACTTGCCCTGCGCGCGTGCACTTTTTACCAATCTCCCGTTTAAATCAGATACCGCAGCGCTTTTTCTCCCGTGTGCATTTTGAACGCGCCTCGCTAAAACACGAAAAAAGCAAACAAAAAAAGCTCAAATCGTCGAGAGTGAATCGCATAGAATTCCGAGCTAAAAGCAAAGCTAAGGTAAATTGCAAGCAGTCTGTTTTTTTTTCTCGTGCTATTTTCTACATTTCCATCCTCCCGAATCTTGCCCCCGTCCGCCCCCGCCCCCTGCAAATTGTGCAACACACGCATACACGCACGCACACAGACGCAAATGGGAGGCTTGGAGCAGTTTGAAACCACCAACAAACACACTCACACAAGCCCAGCCACACGCGCGCATATACATATACCAATATACATATGCATACATACAGTTGTATGTACATATTCCAATAAGAACGAGCTAAGACGTGAAATGTTTCTTTTTTTTGTTGTGTGTGCATACATACATTAATTGCATTAAACGGGCCAAAAAAAGGAGAAAAGAAAACGAACGCAATGTCAATGTCCGCCCATGCCCAATTCAATTAATTTTCCTGTCGATTTTTGACCAAAAAATAAAACAGCGAAAAATACGCGAGTGCAACGGGAAAAATAACATGATACACACAACAAGCGTGTGTGTGTGAGTATATGTACATGGAAAACATTTTTTTCTCTTATTAGTCATCTTGGCGGTGTGTGTGTGCGATGAAAAGCGATGAAATTTCAGCTGAAGCTGTGTACGTACATCCCCAAAAATTTTTTTCGTGTGCAAAAAAAACAGCAAGAAATAGTGAAAAAATCATAACGGTAAAAGGCTGCCAGAGGCAGCTGAAATGGAAATATCAGTAAAATTCAACAAGAAAACTTTCGTGTGTGTGTTTGTGTGTGTGCAAACAAGAGATTTTCTCGGAGAGCCGCACGTAAATTACGGTTCTCCTTGCCTGCGTGTGTGGGTGTGTGTGTGTGAGCGGCAGGACACCAAAGCAAAAGCAACGAAAATTTTCATGCTGTAGCAGCACATAACGGTTCTTCCTTCGTTTTCTTAGTGTGTGTGTGTGTGTGTGTTTCTGTTTTTTCTCCTGTTTTTTTTTTTGCCCTGCTCTGCTGCTGCGCAGTCGCTGCCGACGTCGAACACAGAAAAAAAAACGTTATAATTTTATAATCAATTTAATGACTACACAGTATAGTCTACTAGGTGACAGGCTTATACTAAGCTTTTGAAATCGACATTGTTCAAGTGATTATTTATTTTTATCTAAATATCATTGGCCAAGGCCGATGCTTGAATTCGCAAATGGGATAGCCATCGACATTTAAAAATAAATTTATAAAATTCATTCAGACCTAATGAGATTGAAAAGTTTTGATCCGGCGGGTCACAAAAATCTCTAGAGGTTTAAAATCTCTTAAATTAAAAGGTGCAGAAAAGTATGCTTTAAAAAATAAGGTTGTCCCCTTGGCATTTAACCTTAGAAGTCTTAGATGCTTATAAAAGAAAATAATTATTTTGAACCACTTTGTTTTAAGAGTTTCAAATCTATAGAGATTTTTAATTTTTGATTTGGAGTCGAGTGGCTTTTTTCCCGTGCGGAACTTTGAAACTTGTTTGTCCAATTTGGCGCTCTCTCCACCGTTCTTTGCTCCCAGCTCTCTCGCTCCTTTGGCCTCCTTGCGATTTGTTGTCCTTCGACTCCTGAGCTCTCAACTCCAGGGACATGTCGCAAGGTTTCACTGTGCGCGTGTTGTCGCTTCGAGAGCTTGGACCCAAGGTCCTTGGCTCATCTCGTCACCCTGGCTTCCTATTTCCCTTAATCCCACTGCATTCCCAGTGCATTCCATCGCCGTTCCTCAATTCCTTTCAAGATGTTTGGTCTCCCACGAGGAGCGGTGAAGAGGTGCCAAGTGGCGAGCTTGTATCGGGAACTGCTGCCATTCATTATTAATTGCGCGCCGATGCAATCATCGAATAATTGCCCCATCGACGTTTCAAGCGATTCGCAGGCCACACGTTCCGCCATTCTAAATTCACAGTGCCGCCCTCCTAATTAAAGTCAGCGCCCACAATGTCGCCAATGTGAGCAAAAAGCTGATAACAGATGTGTTTATGCGTCACGCAACTCGCGAAATTCAGAGATTTGCAAAAACAAAACCAATGTTCCGGCGAATAGCTCAAACATCTGACATGTTCGGAAGATTCATTCTTTAAAAATGCGATTAAAGCAATTGCAGAAATTTTAGAATAATAACAGTATCCGGTGATACGACTACAAAGAAAATAAAAAGCCGATATATGTTTCCTTAATTGGGAAGTTCATAGCATAATTTCTCTAACTCTTTCAAATGACTGACATACTTGAAAAGAACTTGAAGGGGTGAACTAAGCAAAGTATTTATCGGTTTGTAGATATTAAACTCTCTGTTTGGGTACATATATTCATTACTCACTGCGTTAAATATTTTTTGTTTGTTTTGATAACTGACAAGCAGACAATTAAGTGACCGCAGAAGCGAACGAAATTCGTAGATAATAGCTCTGAAGCTTAAGTAAATAAAATTAATTAAGAAATCATTAAATTTAACCAACATATTCATAAAGTTTCTGTAAAGAGTTTTCTAAATGTTTAAAGAGATTATCCAAAAGTTGATATAAAATGTTTTTTTATTTCATTTTTTTATGCAAGACGCTTTATTTACACAATTTCTTCATGTTCTCTTTAACAATATTTCCAAAATTCCTTTAGATCTTCAATGATTCCAAATTGGATTCACGTGGATGATGCCTATTTAAATGTTTAGAGTAATGAATATAAATGCTTGGCCATACCGTGCTTTTCAATCGATTGTTTTCAATTGAACAGGTGCTTCTCTTAAAAAACAGTGTGATCTGTTTTTTCCAAGTTCCCCTACAGCGCATAAACATCGCTCTGTTCTTAACGTAATTTTCAAAGCACTGCGTGGTTGGGCGAGTGCTTTGTTTCGATTAGAGTTCCGTTTGTGTCATTTATTAATGCACCTGACCCCTACCATTAGGCCGGACCCGATTGAGGCCCGTTCCCCCTTTCGATTTAGTAATTACCTATGCAAATATGCAGTTTGACAGCTAAACGGCAAACGGTTAACAACGGTGTGCGCTAATTAATGGTACAAACCCCAGTAGGTGGAATCTGCTGTTGAAATTGGCATGCGAATTGCAAGCATAGACATTTTTTCTAACAATTAGCTAGCTGGGCGACAATTGCTGAAAGTGGCAACACGTTAATGAGAAGCTGCGTGGGAGCCAATGAGAAATGACTCAGTCAGCCAGACAATTCAGCTGAAAGAGGGAAAAAAGAATATAAAAAAAATAAAAATAAATAACAAACTACATAGAATAGAGAAATTGAATAGTGAAGCACCCGCCAACACAGAATTTCAAAGCAGACCAGTGTGTTTCTATCTATCGTACACACAAATTGCTCTAATAATAGCGAAAGCGGCAGAAGAAACTATTAGAAGTACAGAGAGTTTCGCCCGAGTTTTTCCTACGCAAAAATAGGAACGCGAACATAACAACAACGAAATGCTTACGGAAAAAGGCCACAGAACTTGGTGGAAATCTTCCGCGAATGCATAAAAAGACAAATCCGTTGCGGTTGCCCTGATCCCAAGATTATATAGTTGCACTTAAAAAATTTACACACACAATCGTAAAAAGATTGTCCGTACTAGTCAATTAAAATACTAATCAGATCCGCACTTAATAAATGTATGTATATTGATGAATTATTAAAAAAGATTATTCATTGGCAAACATTTTATTAAAGTTACTTTAATCATCACGAAATCATTTTCAGTTTGATTGTAATTGAGTTATTATAAGATTATTATTCAATGGAGACATAAGAAGTCGATATTACGATATTAAATTTGATCTGTATTTTGAGTAATGTAGGAATATGAAAAGGGCAAAAACCATAATTGGCCTGGATTGTATGAATGAATAAAGCTTTAAATTTTTTTTTTATTTTGATTAAATATATTCTTAACCCATTTTTATTTTCAATAGAGTTTGATCGAACGTTTATGTTTGTTTTGGAATGCCAGAATTTCTGTTCGCATGCTCAGGCGTTCTGTACATACAGCTGTGTTCAGAAAGTCGTGTCATTCGAACGAAGTGAGGTTTTAACTCTAAACTGTATGCACATTTGCATTGGATATATACCTATGATAAACCTGACAAACACTGACCTGCACTGCTGAAAATAAAATGCAATCTAAGTATTTTTTGATAAAAATTCCTTTAACCAACAAGTACTGAGAAATAGTTAGTATAAAAAATTACGTATACGAACAGTATGCCAATACATTGAAAAAATAACTAAATATGGTTACGATTTAAAAAATATTAAGTAATTATTACATTGCGGCTTTAAAGTTTATTTTTATTTATTTTCATAATATTTTTTTGGTTTCCACATTTTTAGGTCAATAGCGTCAGTTGGAAAATATGTAGTACTTCTATTATTATGAGCACTGCTGTATGTACATATATACAGTTATCCCCAACAGTTTCGGGTCAATTGACTTTTAGTGTAGTGCTGCACACACACACAGTAAAAACGTGTATTTCTCCCAGC